ACAGCAGACTACGAATGGGCAGCGTTTTATGGGTTCATATCAATTCTCAGGCTCTTTTTCCGCCGGTGAACCACCCATAAACAAGACGTTAACCTGGCCCCCGGTCCCTGGAGACCCATTTGTATGTGAGCTTCCTTTCAGGAGTAACACGTCCCTGTGGTTGAGTGACGCAGCCTCCGGGTCAGGGGCGTTTTTCGAGCAATAAATTACAAAATGAATTCAATTACTTGTCACTGAATGAATCTTAAAACGATTTGCCAATCTACAAAGTATGCGGAGTTTAAGTACATGCATAATACATATTTCTTTGCACCAGGGTAATTTGGTGGATCCATAAGGTATATTTACATCCTGGCAGGGTATTATAATTTTAGTCAGAAGCTTGCAAAGCTTAAAAATTAAAATATACACAAAATATACCTTACGTTTTTTCTCTCTTCTATGCACAAAAATATATTTTTTTTTAAGGCTTTTTGGTGGGCAGCCGTAGTCCTCCAATTGCAACGCCTTTGGAGCCCTGTCGCGTGGCGCCTTACGTCAGCCTGGCCGCACTCCGTAGCTCATCAGTTCCGTCACAGCATCCCACAATTGCGACGAATGCAAGCTCGCAAGGATCTAGTAGTGCGACTACCGGGAAAGCTTCGAGCGTAGATGCATCATCACACAGCACTCCAGCGATATCGCGTTCAGCTGTTAAGCAGTTTTCCAGCACGGTCGCTGCAGCGGCCGCTTTTTCAGCTTTCGATCCAGCGATTATTTCCGTGGCAGCTCATCAGGTAAACAATAGTAGCAGGAAATAAACAGAAAGTAAAACAATTTCTCTAAAAACAAAAATATTGCAGTATGCGGCGGCGATAACCAATGGAACGGTGCCAGCCGGGCTCTTTTCTGTGCCACAATACTCCATAAATCTGGCCGCCTTTGCCGCTGCTCACAGCAAGAGCTCGAGCATAGCAGACCTCAGGATGAAGGCCAAAAAGCACTCGGAATCCTTGGGACTGCAGGCCGACATGGTTCTTTAGTAAGCCCACACAGCTTCGTTTAGAGATGTAGAGATTTATGTACATTCAGTTGATGATAATGTATCGTCACTATTAAAAAGGGATAGTCACATTTATTTATTTAATAAAACACTTTACTTAATTAAAGCTACAAGTAAGATTGATTTAAAAGGAAAACCACGATATCGACAAATAAAAGAACTGTTTTTTTCGAAGGCCTTTTGGTTTTGACGGGAAAGTAATAAAAGAAATTAGTTTTATATTAAAGAATACTATTCAAATGTCCTGGAGCCTCCTCATTGCCTTACTCCTAGATAATACAACTTGGTCCGCACTTATATCGTAGCCTAGCTCATCAGCAAGTCAGTGAGTTTCGTTATAATCCTGCAATTTTGCGACTCTCTCCATCACCCAATTAGAACGAATTGATTATGTGTTAAAAATTTAAATTTCAGGCTTTTCTTTTTTAATATATGGAATCATTATAGCATTATAATAAAGGATTTACTTAAGTACATATATATTAAAACACCCGCCGCCGGTAGCGTTGCTAGTGATGCTACATAGTCCAATAAAAAAAAGCATCCTTCCATCCTGCTTCCTCACTTTCTCCGGCTACCCAACTTGTCCAGAACAAAATCCTTCAAGGGCTGATAGTATTGGTAGCGCAGGCACAGCATCTCCGGGGAGTTGCGCAGCTGCTCAAAGGCCTCCGACTCGGACTCCATGATGAACACAGCCGTTCCGGCCATCGCGAAGGCCACAAAGATAACGGACGGGACGAAGGCGGCCAGCAGATGGAATTTGCGAAACTTTTTCATCTTTCGCAGCGATTGATCCCCGTGCAGAAAATTATCCCCCGGAGAGCTGGAGTTCAAGGCGGCAGCACCGACGGACTGTCCATAGTACAGATTCGGGGAATAGCTGCCATGCTGCTGCTGCTTAGCGTCGTTATGCTTCCGCGGATGATCGTATCCGCCATTCACAGTCAGTCCGCTCTCCGTGGACGAGTGCTCAACGGAGTCGCGATACGTATAGCCGCCGATTTGGGTGGCCAAAAGGTTGATCCCATCGAGGTTCGACGATCTGAGCCGAGCCTCTTCGCAGACCGGCTCCAAGCTGGATATCTGAATGCCACCGTTAATCTCGCCCATCCCATGATCCTGCCCATAGCAATGGGCACCGTTGGGCATACCATAGCCCAGAGGCTCTGACATCGTGGATCTCGGCAAGCTGCTATATCCTAAAGCAAATATTTTAGATATAAAAAGAATAATTAACAAATGGCAAAAAACCCACGGATTTGCGCTAGATCGCCTTGGGGACTGGAGGGCGTGGCCGGAACACTGCTCGCCTTTCGCTTGCTGGAATTTGAATTGTTGATCTTTTGTTCTCGCAGTGCATTTATGTTTTCAGTCAGAATTTCACGCTCAGTTCTTCCAGTGTATCGGAATTTGGTGCCCCAGGAGAAGAAGCCGCCTCCAGAGATGACAGCCGCACTTTGGCTATTGGGTAACCTAAGTACATTTATATAAAAAACATTAAATAAATAATTATGCTGGCGTCTTAATATTGTCTTACGTAAAGAACAGCATCTGTTCGATGGCACATCTCCACAAATAGCGACAAGCAGCTCCGGTCGGGCACTTAAAGCCCACGGTGTGCTTTTTCTAAAAATTATATTAACATTTAAATTAAGTACTTATTTCATTATTGTAAAAAAGAACTTACGGGCTCACGACTGGCATCCGTATAACTCAGATGGGCTATAAACATTTTGCCTTCAAAGTTGATTTTATGTATTTCGTTCCAGCGAAAATGTTGAGATCGCTTGCCGGTAACGAACGTGCTTATACCCGAGTTATTTATGCCGATATATTGCTGGGATCCCCGGTGATCCTTCACAGGGTGTGGATCAATGCCGTAGGTCTCCAGACCCCGAGCTATGCCCAAGAACTCGTCCATAGCTAGGGAAAGATCCTGGCCAGGCTCACGCTTTTTATGCAGCTCGATTATCTTTTTCTCCAGATACTCGGTCTGGCGTAGGGCTAATTCTATGGAAGATACGTAAGCTCCTATATGAACATCTTCGTTATAATCTCCAAGCTCTTCTGCGATGGAAAAGGTATAAATTAGTAAATATTTATGTATAGTAGTAGGCATTTACTTCACCTTGAACTATCAAGGCTCCCAAGGCAGCCGCCTCGCCCAAAGAGCAATACAAGCGGCCATGACGGAGATCCCTCTTCAATTGCTGGTACAACATAATCCGGGCATTTCCAGTCAACCGAAACGGATCCGCGGGGTAAAACTTTACTCTTAGAGAGAATAGCAACGGATCCATTTCTGTGAAGAAAAAAAAATTATAGAAATATGGAGCATAGAGTAGCCTATACTATACTTACCCTTACATTGCTTTATTATGGATTTCGACAAGTCCAGCCAGTGCTATTAGCAAAAAAAAGCAATTAATCAATAATAAAATATTATTTAAAGCTTGAACTTACCCTCTGCTTTGAGGTATCCACATACCGCAGGCCAAAGTAATCCTTTTCTTTTATTTCTAACTCACCACACAAATATTCTAAGAGGTAAATGCCTTTATGGAACGGCTGTGAAAATATTAAAATCTGGATAAAGAAATCTGTCTTGGAAAACTGAAACTTAAAATCAATTTCACAGAAATCTGTGCTGAAGTTAGTTAAAAACAAAACGGTTTATAATTATAGATTTTAAAGAAACTCAAGAAAACTTGAACGTTTTAATGTATCACAAATACAATTTACATAATTTATAAAATGTTACTTAAAATATATTTAAACTTATGAAACGGAAATCATAAAAGTATCACACACTTTGGCGGTATGCAGAAAGGGCGTTAACGGTAACCACCCCACATAAAGTCCTACCTGCAGATGGTCGATTGTGAGAACTAAAAATAAATAAAACATAAAACAAAAGCCAATCCAACTGTTTTTTATAGATATATTCAGAAGAAAATTATATGCAAAATTGTTTCGGAAAATAAACTTTTGCATTTATTAGTCATCGAATTTTTTTATATTTTTTCATAAATATAAACTAAAAAGTAGTAAAAGGATATTGCCGATACAGGGTCCAAAGAGATGAGTGCTCAAGGTAGTTATATATCGACTTGAATCGGATGTTTTTGAAGACCACTCAAGTTCATGGGGACAACAAACCTGAAATTCACATTCTAGGATGTCGGAATCATCCAGGAGACGCACTGTGCATTTGTACACAATATTGCCTTCGTTTTTGCTCCTGAACATTTTGTTGATTGGAATGGAATGAACTTTTTCGCACTTTTAAGAATCGTCGTTGTTTCACTTTGGCACAAAAGACACAGAAGTGGGCGGATTTGGATGGTTCATTACTGAAGCAAACGCTGGCTGCTAAACATTTTATTTGTTTTACTTTTTCTATTCATAAATATTTCGGCAACGCCAGTGTGTCCTTTGCCGTCCTTTGGCTTGTTCCCGTTAGGGGTGTTTTTTTTTCTATGAAAAGGAAATGTACCAAAAAAGGACAAATGCCACACTCATCGGGAGCCATAAACATGTGTTTATACAGATGTGCCTATTGGTATTATCAGGGGGATAATATACTGGAATATGTCCAGGAGGATACTACTTTTAATGTATTCAGTTTATTTATGAATTAAGAATATATTTTGTTGTTTACAGGACTATCGAGCTATCGCAGGATAACGGATTTCGTATGTTTCCATAATTTATCGATAAACCGTCTGCATTGAATCTTTATTATCCTTAAATTAAAAAACCGACCCATAACTTGCGTTAACCAAAAACAAACACCAATGTTTTGGGTTAATCAATCATCATATTTATCATACACTTGCATGTACAATAAAGTTCAGAATATTTCCCAGCTTAAAGGCCTTTATGAAATATTCGTCATAAGCTGAATAATTAATTTCTCCATTTTCTTCCAATTTCCATTTCTTTTTTTCTTTTTCGCTTATAGAGTAACTTCAATGTACTCCACATTATCACACAGCACAGCATCGGACTCGTTTTCAGCCTGAACTACGTACCCAATTTTAAAGGACTTTTGAGCTCCGTTGGTGACCTGATCAAACTCCTGAATAAACTGGTCGGCAGACTCGGGAGGAAGGCACATCAATAGGCCGCCAGATGTTTCAACTGATCGCCCAGAACGAAACTTGGTGCTTTGCCCAATCAAAGAACTGAATTTCAAGACATTTTTGATAATCGGCAGCTTCTCAACTTTGAATAAAACCTTTTCCTTTTGATATTCAGCGAGATTCTTGGCGTGACCCAAGAGGCCAAATCCTGTGACATCGGTGGCGCAATGAGCCTGATATTTGTGCATTAGCAGGGCGGCTGCAAAAATAAATATAGGTAAATAATACAAAGGGGAGATTAAAAACTTAATTACCATTTTTGTTTAAATAAGTCATTGATTTAACTGCTATTTCAAAGGTTTCCTTAATGTCGTCGTCATTGAACTCCGACATGAGGGTCTTGTATTTCTCCGTCTTATTCAACTGCCAGAGGTGGGCATCCATCGCCATCTGACCGCCCAGGGGCTTTGTAAGTACCAAAACATCGCCGGGCCGACCGTTTGAGGGTCTTCAAAGGAAATAATATTATTGATTTGTTCAGGATCCGTATCGTTGTAGCACACTTACAAAATAATTTCCCTATTTCTGCAGACAGACGTCGCAATGCCACCCACAATACACCAGGGATTGATCTTCAGTTGCCTGATAACCAATGGAGTTTTTCCATAGCCATTGCTTTTCAAGGAGTCATGAAACCCCTTAATGATCAGCGAAATGACAACGTCTCGTTCAGTTTCCGTAAAGCTTGTCGATGTGCTAAGGATCATTTCCACTGAATCGAAGTCCGTCACACCAACGGCAAACACATCGCTCAGAACATTGGCCAGAGCGATGCGACCCAAAATTTCAGGGTCGTTTACCATGGGGTAAAAAAAGTCCACGGTTTGAACCAGTAGTAATTCTTTGTGCCGAGACAGTGGTATAACAGCACAGTCCATTCCAGAGCCTAAAAGGGTTAAAAACAGTTTAAAACTGATAATTAACATTATTTGTTATCATTGCCCACCGATAAGGTATCCATCGTTGTTGGTATTAGCTATTTCCGTTCCCCTAAGATACTTTTCCAGTACTTTTTGGGGGATTTTACAGCTTCATCCGGTGTGTGTGGTGAATTTGGTTAATTGAAAGTCAGGCTCCAGCCCGTGTTCCTCGGGGCGAAACATATTATATCAATTCTTAATTTCTGGGCAGCTCGTGGTCTCAGCTAGGGATGGTAAAGTAAAGTTGTTGTCCTAGGCTTATCGATGAATTATACGATCAATTTAGTACTACATTTGTTTTCGGTAAAAGTACAAATCCATTGATAATTAAGCAATCAATAAATCCGATAATATTACTGCTTTTTTATTGTATAATAAAATACGTTTACATGTTGATGATAATTTCAACGAGACGGAGATGATAATTGTTCGATATCTCGTTCCTATCGATCAAACCTAGTGGTGGTAAAATAATACCGCTATATGTATATTTTTATACCCTTGCAGGGTATTATAATTTCAGTCAGAAGTTTGCAACGCAGTGAAGGAGACGTTTTCGACCCTATAAAGTATATATATTCTTGATCAGCATCAAGAGGGGAATCTTTCTAGACATGTCCGGAAGAAATCGATTTTTTGGCCATTTTTGCGAAATTTGATAAGGGGTTACATCATTAAAATTTTTGATTTTGATAAAAAATTGAAGTTTCAAAATTTTTAAATGAAGTATGCAGATTTATTAACTGTAGAAAATCTTGCACAGAACAGTTTTCCGATTTAAAATTAATGCTCTTTTGGCCGAGTTATGATATTTTTAGTTTAAAAAAATTAAGAAGTTTTTTAATATAAACAAGAAAGGAAGCTAACTTCGGCACGCCGAAGTTTGTATACCCTTGCAGATTGGTTTCGATGTTTATATTATAGATTTAAATGCTGAAAACACTCACAAAACAGAGTTTCATTAAATTTTACCTATACTTATTATGTTTACAGTTTGACAGTTTCAGTTTTACTTTCCCAGCTTTACATATTTTATACATTTACCGATCGCTTCAATGGCAGCTATATGATATAGTTGTCCGATTTTTATAAAATTTATACCAAAATTCTAGAATAATAAAAAAAGCTTATATCTGAGAGTAGATAAACATACGTGCGCAGGGATCTGGGAAGCACAAGTTCATCAAGTTCATTGTAATTGTTGATTGATGATCACCTGATCGGCAGAGGTGAAGCTGGAGGAGCGAGCAGCTGGGATGACAGATCTCAACCCGATGGCAGTGGAGGACGGTGATCGGATCTTGGCTCCGGGCTAGTTGAAACCCTGCAGCAGGCGTAAATAATTAAAATATTTATAAATGCAATTTAAATATGTAAATGTAATTGATGGAACACACAAATATGAATCAATAAAAGATGGTGAAATCAATGTGCAATTTTTTTGTGAAGGCGGCATTTATTTGGGATCGTTTGGGGAAAAATCTAATTATTTTGAAAGCAAAATCTAAATTTTTAAATTTGTTTTCTGAATTTTAAACATTTTTTTCGAAAGTTTTACAATTCTTCTAAATTTTTAAAAAATTGTTTTAATTTTTTAAAATTTTTCTGAATTAAAAAATTTTTTTTTCTGAATTTTTAACATTTTTTAGATTTTTTATATTTATTTAAGAATTTTTTTAGAATTAAACGAATTTTTTTAAATCTTTTAATTGCCAAATTTGAATTTGAATTTAACGACGATAAGTTTCAGTGTGCCCAGGTGCAGTTGTAAAATAACACCTAAATTTGGATTCAAAGGGTTTGAGTCTCCGCTAACTTGCGCCGGCTCCTAAATGGTTTGGAACTTGGACATTTTATAACAGTTTATACCAGTTTTCAGCTGCTTGCTGCTGATTTCTGTTCGCCTGTTACCCCAATTTGGGAAACGGGCAATTTGCTTGGAAATGTTCGGAAATTTGGATGGGCTGCTGTAGGGATGTTGTTGTAAAGGGGTTGTTGTTGCCATAAGCTGTTGTTGTCGGCAACAAATAGGTATAAATGCATAAAATAAAATATAACAGTTTATACCAATTATTATTTTTGCTCAAATGTTTTTATAACAGTTTATACCAGTTTTCAGTTGCTTGCTGCTGGTTTCTGTTCGCCTGCTACCCCAGTTTGGAAAGCGGCCAATCTGAATGAAGTTTTTTTTGTTCACTTGCATGAGTGATACTCATCTGCATCAGTGATGCTCATCTGGCTATATTTCAATATTGGAGGGCAATAAAGTCGGGCTTAATGGCAGTGATGCGCATGTACACCAGTGATGCTCATATAGCTATTTTTTTGCATTATTGGTAGAAAATTGCATCTCACTAGCTGCCAGTGATGCTCATCTAGCTATTTTGCATTATTGGGACAAAATGGCATCTCACTAACTACCAATGATGAGCATCACTGATGGAAGTGAGCATCACTGATGGATGTGAGCATCACTGATGGAAGTCAGCATCACTGATGGAAGTGAGCATCACTGATGGAAGTGAGCATCACTGATGGAAGTGAGCATCACTGATGGAAATGAGCATCACTGATGGAAGTGAGCATCACTGATGGAAGTGAGCATCACTGATGGAAGTGAGCATCACTGATGGAAGTGAGCATCACTGATGGAAGTGAGCATCACTGATGGAAGTGAGCATCACTGATGGAAGTGAGCATCACTGATGGAAGTGAGCATCACTGATGGAAGTGAGCATCACTGATGGAAGTGAGCATCACTGATGGAAGTGAGCATCACTGATGGAAGTGAGCATCACTGATGGAAGTGAGCATCACTGATGGAAGTGAGCATCACTGATGGAAGTGAGCATCACTGATGGAAGTGAGCATCACTGATGGAAGTGAGCATCACTGATGGAAATGAGCATCACTGATGGAAGTGAGCATCACTGATGGAAGTGAGCATCACTGATGGAAGTGAGCATCACTGATGGAAATGAGCATCACTGATGGAGGTGAGCATCACTGATGCAAGTGAGCAAAATTTCTAAAATTTGGCCGCTTTCCAAACTGGGGTAACAGGCGAACAGAAACCAGCAGCAAGCAACTGAAAACTGGTATAAACTGTTATAAAAAGATTTGGGCAAAAATAATAATTGGTATAAACTGTTATATTTCATTTTATGCATTTATACCTATTTGTTGCCGACAACAACAGCTTATGGCAACAACAACCTTTTAACAACAACATCTCTACAGCAGCCCATCCAAATTTCCGAACATTTCCATGCAAATTGCCCGTTTCCCAAATTGGGGTAACAGGCGAACAGAAATCAGCAGCAGGCAACTGAAAACTGGTATAAACTGTTATAAAAAGTCCAAGTTTCAAACCATTTAGGAGCCGGCGCAAGTAAGCGGAGACTCAAACCCTTTGAATCCAAATTTAGGTATTATTTTACAACTGCACCTGGGCACACTGAAACTGATCGTCGTTAAATTCAAATTCAAATTTGGCAGTTGAATTTATTATTATTTATAACAGTTTATATCAGTTTTCAGTTGCTTGCTGCTGGTTTCTGTTCGCCTGTTACCCCAGTTTGGAAAGCGGCCAATTTGAATGAAAAGTTTTGCTCACTTGCATCAGTGATGCTCATCTGCATCAGTGATGCTCATCTGCATCAGTGATGCTCATCTGCATCAGTGATGCTTATCTGCATCAGAAAATGTAAAGCTAGGAATGTTACTGTAACTGTCAAACTGTTTTGTGTGTGTTTTCAGCATTTTATTAATGTTATGAATAAATATACAACTTTTATATATTTTCTTTTATTTTTTATTTTTAATTATTTAACCAGAATGGCTCGATTCTTAGTGATCCAATTGCAATCTGCAAGGGTATACGAACTTCGTCGTGTCGTAGTTAGCTTCCTTTCTTGTTTTTTATATATGTGTATATATTTCTATGAAAAAAATTAATCTGTCATAAGCATTGAAATAAATATTGCGGTCAGTTTTAAAAACTATACATGACTGTTATTTTAAAAATGAATTTGATACTGAAACTTATGGTTTGTATCTTATATTACAATTCTACAATTTATGCAAGTAGTTTCTTAATTTCATCCTTTTCCGCTGCCTCGAGGTAGCTTTGGCCATCTGGAGTAGAGCCGCTCTTACTAGCCCCCTGCAACATGCAATATGATAAATGTTTATTAGTTTACAATATATGTACAGTGGGTTACTCCAACCTTTTTCAGCAGAAATTCCACACAGCTCGTATGTCCCTCCCAAATGGCAGCCAGAATCGGTGTAATACCATGCTTGTCTTTTCTCTGCAGTGCAAATATTCCAAAACAAAAATAATATATTTAATTGCGGTGAATGCGAATTCCTAATCTTATAAATGAGAAAGCCGGCACAGAACTGCTTTCGAATGACTAAACAAATGCACACACATACATACACAAGTACATATGTATGTGCCAAAGTTTTATATGTATGTAAATACATTAATGTATATAAATATATAAACACCGTCTATATCGTCGCATATATCTAAGTACTTACATCAACGTCTGCTCCTATTTTAATAAGGAATTCAAGCACATTAAGCTGGCCAAAATCCGCCGCATAGTGGACTGGGTACCGTCCCTTAATTTCCTCGTTCACATTTTGTGCCTGCATTTAGGTGTATATTTATAAAATTAAATCAAATCAGTTTTTACTTTGGAAAAAATACACACATTGTTCTGAAATGCAGCTTGCACAGCGTCAATTTCTCCGTTTTTTATGGTCCAAATAATGTTTTCATTCGTTGTCGCACTCATTTTTTCCTTTTCTTTATGGCTCGACTTGTCAAATTCAGCTAGAGATGGACCTTGTGCGATAAATTTAGAATTCTACCCGTATTTGGAGTGTTTCAAAAAGCCAGTTAACTGGGTGTTATAAAGCGTTTCAGTGTGCCCAGCTGCCGTTAAACGTATAAGTTTAAAAAAAAATTTAATTAATAATTAATATTATATATTATAATAATTAATAATATATATTAAATCAATATAAGTCATCATAATTGTATGCAAATCGGTTGGGATATCATAAGGCCGCTACAGGAACGATCGGTAATTGTAGAGGAAAAATGCCAACCATAAGTGTAATTTATGTAAATTTTAAATTGAACCGGATTCTTCATGATCCAATTGCACTCTGCAAAGGATAAGTTAGCTTCCTTCCTTGTTATTATAAGAAATTATTGAAAAATACAAGTGCATCACAGACAACGTTATTTTGTATTCGACATTTATTTATTTTAACTAATAACAAACGAACTGTGAAACTTACATTCAACATTCATTTACAATTGGAATTTCATAAACTATCACCATTTTTTTCGTCATGAGAATATTGAGCAAAAAGTAAGTTGTAAGACGGAAAATTGCAGCATTGCATGTCGGTTCTCTTCCAATGCGATCCCTTCGAATATTCCACTTCCAGCTCTTTCATTGTTTCGTACGCCAGAGAGCACTATTTCAGTAAACAAAATGTGAATACAAATACAGCCAAAAAATATTTGTAGAACCCACCTTATTTGCAAAAATAGTTACTATAAATTTCCCGGGCTTGAACGTATTGATCACTTGATTGATAAGTTTCCTGTAGTTACTCAAAGCCACATTCGTTTCAAAGCTCACGTACGAGAACTGATTTTCGGGAGTAATGTGGATCGTCATGTATTCTCCCTGTTGCAAATATATCAAATTAAATTAAATTTCCCTTTGGAATAGGTAAAGTAATACCTTATCATTTATTCCATTCATAGAATATCCACAAGGATCAAATAGGAAATCGTCTATATGCATGGTTGGCAAGATTGTATCTATACCGGATTCCTACAACAAAGAAAAACTAAAATTAGTGCATTTTTTCTTTAGACAATACGTAAATCTGTATACCTTGGTAGCTTCATTGGCACTGGCAAATTTATTCTTGTAAAAGATGGACATAGTCTCCGCATCTAGATCCTGCATAAGTATCTCAATTGTTTGATCCGGCTCAGAGTCCACATCTTTCTCGTCAACAGAGATAAGCTGGGGAGAGGCCTTTACATCAGAGCGACTGAAAGTATAGAGGTACCAACATTCCAAGTTCATAGATCCCAAACAATAAGATCTTCCATTGGGGAAAATGGAATCCAGATACGTGACTTCCTCTGTAAAGCCCTGATGCGGAGTTATCTGGAGAGGGAACAAAATTCTAGTACAGAATAGAGTTAATATGACGTGCGTGGTGTCTTTACCTGTACTTCAGGCCTTGTAAAATTCTTTCGAGAGTAGAATAGGTCGGCAACCACATCGAATCCATTTTCAGCTGCTAGCTGCAGTAACAGGCTCAGGCATTTTAGAGGAGTCGTGGTTCCACATGTTTTTAAAATCCACCTTCGCTTCGAAACAAACATGCTGCTCTCACTATTATAAATGCTTTTGTTAATCAGGAGTTTAAATTTAACAAATCAATATAAAATATTACCTTAAAACAAAGGCAAGTAAATTATCATTTTTGGAAGTGCTTATTATTTCACAGTTGACATTGCCAAGAACTTTTTCCCAATCAGATCTGAAACAAATAAAATAAAATAAAATTAGTACTTTTGGAAAAGGGTGACCAACCTTCTACTAATCAGAGGCTCTCGTCTGAACACAATGTGGAAGGCCATGCCCAAATAATGAAATCAATTCAAAGATCGAATTATGTGACCTTATTTGTTAGTAACACGTGTCTGGGCAGAGATAAGCGCACAAAAATAATTTATTTCGCTTGCTTCCAAAGTTCTTGTTGTGTAAAGGAACTTTTGCCCGAGACTGTTAGTGCACCCTCGCCGCTTGCTGTCTCGAATGCACACTTAATTACAAAGTGTCACCTTTCGGTAGACTCACCTGCTGATGTTCCGCAGGTCATTCTCGTTGTTGGGGCTCTCCTCGAACCAAATTTCAAGGAGTTTTTCAACCCCTTCGAAAAAGTGCTCCCCGTTTTCAAGCATGCTTTAAATAACAGATGGAGTTGATAACGCAGAAATGTTTTGTGATGTAAAACAAACGATGGCGCTATCGATGGACTAGCCGCCTATCGATAACAGAAACCAAAGGCAAATATCGTAATTACACGTTAAAAAATAGTATTGCCCTATAATTTCTTTAGATACTCTGAAAAATAAAATGAATCATAAAAACAACACCGAACACTGTTGAATTAAATTTTACATTAACCAGTTTATTGTTTATTGTGATTGTTAAAAATTGTATAGAGTATTTTTATTTGAAAAAATAAATGAGTAATATTTTTTGTATCTTAACCTAAATATGAAGGGTCTTAAATTATTTTAGACGATTTATGTAGATTCGAAAAACAGCATTAAGTTTTTAGTTTCTTATAATTGTATATAATTTAAATATTTCCTTGAAAAGTTTGCATTGCGTGATTATTGCTTTTTGCATAGTTTTACTATTAAAATGTTTTGTGGAGATTATTATATTATCACATGATTTTCGTATAGGCAAGAGATTTAAAACATTATTTATCTTCATTTTTTATTTATATTTTTAGCTTTAGAAGTTGTTCAATTGCGTAGAAAGCTGAAAAAATCATTGTTATAACTGAACGTTTTTAATTTCAATAGAAGCAATTTGTGTGTTATTAAAAAATTAAAAATACTGTAAAATGGTTTTAATAAATATAAATATATATATATAATAAGTTTATTTTTAATTTAATTGCATTAAGTATTGATGTCCTTCTTGCTTAAGGTCTATATTTAGTGTGATATTATTTAAAAGGGTTTGACATACTGGTTTAATTTTTATACCTCTCTTTAACACTAATAAGTATTTTGGTATTAGTTTTTCGCTTTAAAGATACAAATGAATAAAATTTAGAGTTTAAAGAATGCAAAATTTTATTAATAATCTATATTATACTTCTGTAATCCTATACCGTTTTTGTTTTTCTCTCTTAGACGCGACCTCTCATAAATAAACAAAATGTGTGTGTTAGGGGTATTTTTGCTTCTTTTGTTGTTGTTGTTTTGTTTTTCGAAAAAGTGAGTGAAGAGGGGAATATATATTTGGCGTTTTATGTTAACTTTGCATTATTTTCACTGGAAACAAGGTTAAGCGGAGCGGATAGATCCGCACTTTCACAGGTATCATTAAACGCCGGCAAAGAATTCGACTTCTTTCGCCTCATTAGAATATCTTTAAGTGCTGCTGCGGCCTCGGACTCATCCATTTCCTTTTTGTATTTCTGAATTATTAAAAGATTTCACTATTAGATCAAGTCAATTCAAAGAGAACGTAGGGGGTACTTACATTCAAAACCAGACCAGAAATATCAAGGGCTTCCCTAGACGTCAAGAAATCTGGCTTTGTTGGTTCTATTGTAGAACATGACATTTGCTTGTGTTCTGCGATTAAAATTTAAGTATTTGTTTAATATTTAGGCAAAAATTTGTGCTTATAAAACTTGTTGAAATTCCGATTAAAATTTTTCGGAATAAACAATAAAATTCCAGTTAAAAATGACAGAAGATAGAAACGGTATCAATATGTAAATGGATATGGATTCACTTCTCCTCTTTTCGCACTCATCTTACTCTAATATTTGGTAAATAATATAATGTTTCAATGATATATCTTACTCTTTTTTGATCGCTCCAATTCTTTAGGACGCCTGCGTCTGGTGTGTATGGTATCGCGTCTCATCGAATGCGGCCTGTTGACACCATGCAGCTTAAAGTATAATCCGCAGGCATTGCATACCATTTCGCCTCGAACACTTCGCCGCCAAATTGTTGTTGTGAGTGTGCCACAATTGGAACATGACATATCTTTTTGAGCACCAGGTATGGCATTAAAAAGGTTTATGTTCTTTAGAAGATGAAAACAGAAATAAAAAGAGTTTTAAATTAATGAAACCAATAAAAATGTAGACTAGAACCTACCCTTTTATCTTTCTTTTCCTCTGGAGTTGCTTCTGAAGGGGCGTAAGTATCAGTCACATTCTCATTAACTACATCAATGCAATCGGTTTTGGTAGGAAAACTTTGTTTTCTTCTACATGGTTTTGATTTGCTGGATTGAGCCTCTGATAGATCCTGCAAAAGGTAATATTATTTAAGTAATTTACGTTTACGATATCAAAAGATAAATCTTACCTTTAATAGTGCTATTGGTTCTTCAGGTACTTTTGTAAATGATACTGTTGACGGAACCGGAAACACGAAAGACTGGCTCATCATGCTGCGAATTATTTCAGTAGCCTGGTTTTGATTTTCCTCTTTGCTTTTAGCTATAAGATGAAAATATATGCCAAGTTAGAAAACCATTCTTTACTCCTTTACCTATTTAAACTTAATATTCACAAATTATAAGCACTTACCAGCTGATCGAGCCAGTGCCTGCCAAAGTTGAGTGGTGGCCGCATCTGTTGCATGATCTGAGCTCAGGCTATCCGGGGTCTTTCGATCGTTAATCGAGGACGTAATGTCCATCTCCAGTTTGTGAGAGTCAGAGCTGTCGCCAGAATCCTGCAGGGAGTTGGTACTCGCCTTGGGTGCCTTTAGCTTGTAATCGGCGGCGGCGGAGGATCCACCACCACCACCAACTTGGTTAATGGTAATACTGTAGTTTTGATGAAAATCCTCTTCACTTCTTAAGTGCGACTGAATATCAAGAATTGGAGTTTGGCAAAAATTGTGTAACTGTGGGGGGACCACCGCTGTTGATGCGTTCCGTTGATTAGAAGAGTAATCGTTCTTTTGTTTTTTGACGGATAGGTCAATCTCAACTCCGTCCTCGATTTCATTTTGTTTTAATGGACGTTTTGATTTTATCACAGAACTTTTAATACTTGTATCTACTGTAGCTGCGGCAGAAAAGCACGGAGATTGCGGATTCGAGCAAGGAGGTGAAATGACAATCTTTTTGCTTATATCCATGAGAACGGCCGCCGTCTCGAGCTGCTGCTGTAGGTTCTCATACTTTTCGATATCCGCAGACTGGCTGCTGCTGCTGTGCGAGGAGGATGATCCAGGCATTACCTTCTTATTATGTGCAATAAACTGATCGCCTTTCATAGTTATTGATTTGAATAAACCTGGATATAAGCTATGCTGCTGCTGCGCTGCGCTCTCTTGATTGCTAATCTCAATCTTCCGGTCCAACGGCTGCTGCTGATGGATGCCGGATGAGTCTACTTTGCTGTTGTTTTCGTACTTAACCTTAGAAAATGTGCTCAGCTCGGTGAGAGCCTTGGCAGCTATAGCCTCCGATGAAGCCTTTAAAATTTCATCAAGCTTATCATCCAGTTCGTTTGGATCCTGAAAAGAATCACAGCCTTTTAGTTGATGTTTTAAATCAGGGAAAAGTACTTAGGAATACGGGTAATGTTATTTGATATTTAGAAGGTATATATAGATACTGATAATACTTACTAGTAACAGAGATTTTGATATATTTAAAAATTCTTTCAAAGCATTATTTGAATTGTTCGCCATAATTCGAAATTTCTCAAAGGAATCCAATTTAGCCCTGCAATCAGTGCAGATCAAGTTGGGTAATCCATCGTGTGGCATTGCCTGGAAAATTAGAAGAAGACAATTCAGTTTCTTTTTTGTAAATGTGATGTAATGTGAAACAAAAATAAGAAATCATAAGTAAAATACAATTCATGATCACGTATATTTCGTTTTTTACAAGTCTAATAAGAATGGGAGATACAAATAATTATAATATGCACCCTTGAGCAGATCATTAACTTATTACTCTGAACTGTTATCAGTCCAATTTCCGTGTTTCTAACTAAAAAAAATAAACTCACTTAATAAATACGAAATAATGAAAACTAAAAGTGACCTACTCCTCCAATTAACTGAAACCATGAACGCCTCCTACACACCGACACTGAGAAAGCGCTCTTAATCAATCAAACTTGCAGGGGAAATAATATGTTATCTATACGAAATGGATTAATGTACATATGTATGTATGTAGGTCTCTGCCGCTCACATTTCAGCCGTGTTCATACACAAGTACATGTGTACATATCAATATTTACATTTTTATGCTGGACATTGATGTACGATAGCAGTGTGCACTTGCTGCGTGAGTATGTGTTCATTTGTGTGCGTGTGTGTGGGTGAGTGAACGGCTCCAAAACAGTTAATCGAAAAAAATACTAAACAATTGATACCGATTGTTAATAGGCCATTGGATAAAAGCGCCCCAATCATTTCCTATTATTTTGACGTGTGGTGTCGTAATCACATAGATAACACACACAATCAAGCGCTCTCAACGGTGAGTATGTATGTATGTAGGTATACCGCGATATATCCACACACAAACACACACACACCATAAATCACGCTTGTGTGTGTGCGTAATTAATGTAAATTCGTTTCTGTGCAAATGTGTTGGATGGAAATCTGCTTACCTTAATAGAGAGACAGTTGAATATCTGAAATGTAAGATGTGGTGATGAATCATCATCTCCTCCGCTGCGCTCTTGGCCGTAGTTATCTGTTCTGCTGCTTATTTTGGTTTTCACATTTGTGTTTTCGGCAGCGAAATCGCGTTGATTATGTAGTGAACGTTCCTCCCTCGGGAGTTGTTCCGTCTTGGATGATTTTCCTTCTCCTTCTCTGCATGCAATATTTTCATGTTGTTGCTGTTGTTGTTGCGCTACCTGCGTCGACGATGACGACGACGGCGATGACTGACTTTTGAATACTGATCTTTCGGCGATGTCCGACAACTCCAATTGGCTCTTGCTGGCAAAAGGCTTAGCGTACGCTTGTTGTTCACTGCCACTCGATATTGTTCCCGCAGCAGAAGGCACACTTGGTGTGTTGTAATGTGTTTGGTGAAGGGATTGGGATTGGCTTGGACCCGTTTCTGGTACTGATAGCGAGTTATCACCGAGGCAGCTGCACAGATTGGGGCTCAGAGCCCGAGCCCTGCAGAAGCAGCCAGCAGCACGCTTTTCGGCCGCCTTTTGCTGCTGCTCAGCTCTGTCTTGCGGCGCACTATTATGCGAAATATTATAAATTTGTAGTTCTTGAACATCGCACTCGTTAACCAATGTGAGGCACAATCGACAAACTTGACGAAACTTATGTGGTACATTATACATAATTAAAAATTTATGTGTTTGCACTGTGTAAAGAAACTTGCATACGCCACTCTCTCCGTTATCGAGATAAAAAAGATAACTTTAAAATAAATTATAAAATGAATGTAAACACTATTCCTCAATTTTTCATTGTCACAATCCACGTTCAGCTCACTAAAAATAATTCACTCCAGTGGTTCAATTTGCATTTTACGTTCATTTGAGCTAGTTTCCGTCCGAATTACGGAACCAGGGATGGGGCTATGCTCGCAGTAGCATCAGAAATACAAGAACATTTGTATTGCTTGTTATCGATAACAAAAACTATTTACATTTATTGTGAAATTTATACATCAAAGATGATTAAACTGTTGCTTTGAAAAATTAGTGGGTTTTAAAGCAAATGAAAAATTGTCATCCTCCTCCAACTTTGATTATTGTATTTTCTGAAACGAATGGAATCGGACTGGTTTCATGGCGGCATGGTCACTCTTCCTATTGCTTACATTTTGACAAGGAAGTGCATTGCTTTGCGTGCTGTGAATTGGTTTCAAAAATTATAAGAGGAATTTATTAACAAATAACTACATAAATCAACTTCAAGGCATTCAGTATGTTGTCACAATTTATTCTTAAAAACCAAAAAGTTTTGCAACACAGAGGTACGCTTCATTTTATATTTTATGACTATTTTATACAAGTTGCAAAACATGTTAAGTATATTTCGTAACTTAACATCGCGTACAAACATTATATATTGGGGGGCTACACTATCTGGGTCCTTCTTCGGCTACAGCGACGGGCAGGACATTGCCCAGACTACTGGCCGACTGCTTTATGGCCAAATAGCTGGACTCTTTTTTCTTCTCATCGCTCGCCGACTTGCCGAAGAACCACTCCTTTTTGTTGGCCAAAAACAGCAACATCAAAGCTGGCAGGTGGATTAAAGAAAATCTGAATAATTTCCGCGAGGTTCCGCTGTCCGACTTCTCATGAAATTTATACGCTGCAATGCAAAATTAATTAAAATACATATGCTGACTAATTCTTCACCACTTACCGAGGTATGCGAAGTAAGCATTCAAAGGTAGCGTTTCCAAAGCAAACCAATAGTTCGTCACGTCGAGGAGCGGCGCCATGACCGAAAGTCCGGCAATAGCCACCGAATACCGCAAGGCCGTCCGACGACATAAGCCCGGATTGGTAACGGCCATCATTCGATAGCCGGCACGCGAGTAATCCGGCCTAAGGTTCCACGACAGAGCATTGAAGTGGGGAAACTGCCACGCGTACAGTATTCCCGCCAGTATCATTGCTCCAGCATCCAGGGTGCCGGCACATCCAGCCCAGCCCATCAGCGGCGGAATGGCACCCACCACTGAGCCAATCCAAGTGTTGACGATGCTTATCCGCTTCAGCGGCGTGTATATGGTGGTGTAAAGGAATAGATTTCCCGCTCCCAGAGCTGCCGTTAATCCGTTTGTACCAAAATACAGCATACTAAGGCCAGCGGTGGCAGACACAACGGCAAAGGTGACAGCATGCAGCGGCGTCATTTGTCCCGTGACAAGCACCCGGTTCTTAGTCCTCGACATTTGCGAATCGAAGGGAACCTCGTGATACTGATTAATGGCGTTGGCCGCCGCCGAAACCAGTCCAGTGCCCAGCGTGCACATAACAAACGAAGCAGGATCGAAGGCAGCTGGGGCCATGGCATAGCCGCCCGCTGTCGTTATGACCACCAGAGCTGGAAGATGAACCGGCTTATTGTAATGGAATACCAAGTGGGCAGCATTACCTACATGTCAGGCGAAATTTCGATAGCTTCTTGTATTGACTGAATGTTTTTCCGGGCGCGGTATACGGACTGGGCATCCAGGAGGTGTGGTTTTCGGGTAAATGCTGACTTTTTAGCTTTGACATGGGAGCCGAGGTGGAATCACCTGCCGGTTGGGATACCAGCGGCAATTGCAGTACCTGGGAGGTGGTAGGGCTTCCGTTGGCATCGTGGGACGTATTTGTGGCCGCCGTCGAGTACTGAAATGTTTATACAAGTTTGTTAAGTTGGTTTGTTAACAGTTGCGTAATGCCCTAGAACCCTCACCCGGATGAGCACCAAGTCAACAGGAGTTTTTAGCTGGGTCTTCACCCGTCGCATGCCCTTGAATAATATCATTATTATTCATAAATATCTGCAGTCCAAACTTATTCCATTTTTATAGTTGTGTGTTTAGTTTTTTAATATATTTATAGCAATATTATATATTTTTTTAAAATCACATTGTGCTTAGTATTACCGTATATTGATTCAAGTAAAATGCTTCAAAAAGCTAAATAATTAAGGGTATTCTTTTGGAAAGTTGATTCTGTTAATTTTAATTTACTTTATTGATTATACTTTAATTTGTAATGTTAATGTTCATGTTTTTTGTGGTTATTACTTTAGTTAGCATTATTTGCTAATGCCGCAAATAGTGTTATTTTCGGCACTATGAAGAGTGGTCCACAAATCCACGCATGCGCCAAGTACGCAATGTATTTGTGGGAGTATTTTTTATATCTGGAAGACCCGAGTCCTTGTAAGTTATCATCGATTCAATTATTAAATCTGGTTTATTTTATTAAAATAGTAAGACATTTTTGTGTATTTAAGATATTGGAAAAAACTAAAACAAAACAAACAGCAATGTAACGGTTTTTTGTGGCTTCTATAAAAATTAAAAGCAATTACCTATGACAACATTTTTTTGCTTAGCTAAAAAATACATACATATATACATATAAGGGAAATTAATTAAATCTTTTAAAAAACATTTTATTATTATGTAAATTACATTGACGTACGACGTCATCGACGGAAAAAGTGTATAAAACATGTGGTTCAGGAGTCAGCTCCTTCGATTTTAAGGAAAAGGGAAATAAGGGCGGCTTGCGGTGGCAAAATCTTTGACATAGCCTACTGAATGACATTGAAATTGCTATGTTTTAAATGCACCTTTATAAACACGTAAAACTCTTTCTCCTTGCATCTCTAGCTAACCCTTTCAAATGCCCAGTTCAAGAATGGATATCTACATTACCAAGGGTATTACTAACCCCAACTATCCGGGATTTCAAAAATTTGCACATACATTGTCGGACGACTACATCGAGTATTCGGACATGGAATGCAATGAAAGTGACTTAACGGATAGTGACAGAGAGGATGAGCAAATCTCGTTTAAAAACGAAAATATCAAGTGCAATACCGACTCGGAAAATACCCAGGAATTATTGCTGAGAAATGGGGCACTGGATGCAAATGACAATGGAAATACATACTCCTCTGGGAGTGTGGCAAACACTTCGTCGTCCACGAACATACCTGATCTTGTAAATAAGAATTTAAACTCGACGCAGAAAAACTCGGTGAAGCCAGATTTAATTTACAATCTGAGCAAAAATTATATGACCAATTCCGATTATTCTCCGTGGTCTTGTACAATTAATACAAAATACGAGGGCCAACTACAAGGACAAAGTCCCATTGATATTGTTGGCGATTTCGGCGAGGAAGTGGAGCGTGAGTTTGAGCTTCTTATCAACGGATATAAGAACAAAAAGTCGCTGGAAGCGTTGCAAGAATCAAACTTATCAAAGGTAAATATGTGATCCTAATTTTCGAGTAATGGTTTTAATCTTAAGCGCTTCTTTCCAGATGAACGATGCAGAGCTATCAAATGGCACGGAAGCTTTAAATTATACGGACTCAACACGATTCACTGGACACAATATGCGCAAAAATAAAAAGAAAAATAAGCCATACGGACATGAGCCGTTGAAAATGAAGCATCAGAAGCAATCCCATGATGAGCGACAGCTACCACCGGACACATTTGATTATAAAACCTATAGTCAGCGGAAATATCTACTTTGTGATGCGGCAGAAAGTTATCATTCGGTTTTGGAAAAGAACAAAAATAATAAGCAGAACAACAGCCAGGCAAATATTCCCAATTTAGGCAATTTGGAAATCGGCCAATCTCAGCCAGTTTTAGAGGAAGAACAAGTTACAAATGTCACTAATCGGCGGTACTTGAATCAATCGTCCTGGTCTCAGTACTTGGAGGATTCTAAAAAATATTCCAAGGACTCTTCTACGACTATGGTGTTGGGTAACTATACTGCTCTCTTAGAATAAACAAATGTATGTAATGCTTATCTCGTTTTGTTTTTAGAACAATTTGATGCATACAAAGTGGCGAATGATATGGATGTGGAAACATTGGAAAATCATTTTCAGAAGGTCAAGCAAATCGAGAAAAAGGTAAATAAGAAACTTACGAATAGGAGATTACAGAAGAAACCTAATAACTTGGCCTATTCGCTTCAGCGGCGCTTTAACCGAGATGAAATTCGCAAGAGATTGGCAATCGGGGATAAAGACCCATTGAATAATCAAAATGGTAAGTTAAATAAGTAAATGTATCGAGCTTATCAGGCTTAATTTATTCTATATTTTCAGACATTAAAAAAGAAGAGTTTCTGACCGGTTCTGACAACGAAAGCTATAGTTCCGACTCTGAAACATGTCCAAAGCTATCAAGTAAAGCACTTCGCAAGCAATCCGAGTGCTGTGAAGCCAAGCGAAATAAAGAATTCGAAAACGATCAAATATTACAAAAGAACCAAGAAGATAATATCAATCAATGTACGATAAACGGCAACGTGATTCAGGAACCAGATTTTCATTCAAATGAAAACAACTACTTCTTTGCGAACCAATCAAAGCTTCAAATAGAGGTTAGAATAGCCCTAGCTCAATCGAAGGAAATTGCGCAAATGAAAGTAAAGGTAAGTGCACAAATTAACTTATAAATTAATTAATTTTTATATTATGTGTTTGCTTGCTTCCGCTCTTAGGCAAAGAAAAACGGCGAAACGCCAATTGTGGATATAATTCGCTCAATGCTCTGTGATGTTGGTATTATTATGGATAAACATCATCGTTGGATATCAAGGCAGTTACTCACTGGAATTCAAGTTCCGACTCTACAGTTGTTGGTCAATAACCTACAGAGGTATATTGAGACATTGAATGTTGATCTACTCGAGAGCCTTAAGGAACGCGATGATCTAAATTCGGACCAAGATGACATATTGCATGATCTTGAAAAGATTAATAATTTTTTGTAAGTACAAAAACAGAAACCAAGATTCATATATATTAACTTTTATTTTGTTTTGCAGTGTTTTTCAACAGCAATCTGGCCAGAAAACTAACAAAGTAGTTCGACACTTGCCTCTGAAATAAGCATGTTACATGACAAATTTGTTTGCAAATATAAATTCACTTTTATGATTAATATCAATCTATCAAGACCGTTTCTAAAACACATATTCAAAAATAATGTTCTTTAAATACTGTTATATTTAATTACTAATTTGATGCAATATAAATAAAACTATATATATATATGTATATTGAATAACAAAATTAAATTTGTTTAAATATTTAATTTAAAACTGCTGCGAAAGTGTCTTTTATTCCATTTTATATATTTTATTAAGTTTATTCCACATTTTTTGTTCCATTCCCGTTGTTCCCAGCGTTTCTCGATCATTTCAAATTAGAGAGAATGCTGCTGATAACTGATAACGCGTTCCAGCAGATCTTGCAATACGGTATCTCTATTATCGACTCTACTTTGGCGCCTTTTTTTATTGGCAACAGGCATCTGTGTCTTTGTGTTCTTGTGAAATATATTTAATCCAAAATGTTGAAGAATAAAACTTTAAAAACTTCCAAGCTATATGTCATCAAGCGAGGTAAGTTTGCGAGTATATAATGCAGCCTGATTCTAGCAAATAAATGTCTTGCAGATGGCAGGCAGGAGGAGGTACACTTTGACAAAATAACCTCGAGAATACAGAAGCTTTGCTACAACTTGAATATGGATTTCGTTGATCCGGTAAGTTTATCTAGATATTTATATTATTTAGATCAGTTCCGTTGCATTCAGGAACGTTAATTAAGTACATAAATAATAATAAACAACAATGGCTGCCTTGCCCCCGCATTTGACTTACCTTCTCGTTTCACATTTGTTTTCCCACTTTAGGTTTCCATTACTCTTCAAGTCATCAATGGGCTCTACTGCGGTGTAACCACTCAAGAGCTGGACAACCTGGCTGCCGAGATATCGGCGGGATTGACCTGCAATCACGCCGACTATGCCATTCTAGCCGCTCGCATTGCCGTCTCCAATTTGCACAAGGAAACCAGGAAGGTGTTTTCCGGTACGTCTTCTACTACCTCTACGCCCTGCGAAGAATCCGCTTTATTAAATTGCATTTTTACAGATGTCTTTGAGGATCTCTTCAAGAATGTCAACAAGGAAACTGGTCTAAGTGCACCGCTGGTATCGGAATTCCACTATAACATCGTTAAGAAGCATGCCACGCGCTTGAACTCGTCCATAATTTACGATCGCGACTTTGGGTATAATTACTTTGGTTTCAAGACCCTGGAGCGTTCGTATTTGCTGAAGAGAAACGGTAAGATTGCCGAGCGGCCGCAGCACATGCTGATGCGCGTGGCGATTGGAATCCATGGTGAAGACATCGATGCCGCTGTGGAGACATACAATTTGTTGTCAGAGCGCTTCTTCACACACGCCTCGCCCACCCTGTTCGCCGCTGCCACGAACCGGCCGCAGCTCTCGTCCTGCTTCCTCCTGACCATGACATCGGATTCGATCGAAGGCATTTTTAAGTCGGTGGAACACTGTGCCATGATCTCCAAGTCGGCGGGCGGCATTGGCCTGAATGTCCATTGCATCCGTGCCAAGGGCACTTCCATATGTGGCACAAATGGCACCTCCAATGGCCTCGTTCCCATGCTGCGAGTCTTCAACAATGTGGCTCGGTACGTGGACCAGGGTGGCGGCAAGCGGCCCGGTGCCTTTGCCATCTATTTGGAGCCCTGGCACTCGGATGTCTTCGAGTTCTTGGAACTGAAAAAGAACACCGGCAAGGAGGAGAATCGTGCTCGCGATCTATTCTATGCCCTCTGGATACCCGATCTCTTTATGAAGCGCGTCGAGGCGAATGAAAACTGGTCCCTAATGTGCCCGCACAAGTGTCCCGGCCTGCAGGATGTGTGGGGCGACGAGTTTGAGAAGCTGTACCTTAAATACGAGGCCGAGGGAAAGGCCAATCGGACAGTTAAGGCTCAGTCCCTGTGGTTCGCCATCATCGAGGCGCAGGTGGAGACTGGCAATCCGTACATGCTCTTCAAGGATGCGTGCAACAGGAAGAGCAATCAGCAGAATGTGGGCACCATCAAGTGCAGCAATCTGTGCACAGAAATCGTCGAGTACTCCTCGCCCGACGAGATCGCCGTCTGCAACCTGGCGTCCATCGCTCTCAACATGTTTGTGACGCCCGAAAAGACGTACGATTTTAAGAAGCTGAAGGAGGTCACCAAGACTGTGGCCAAGAATCTGAACAAGATTATTGACATCAACTATTATCCCCTGCCGGAGGCCAGGAAATCGAATATGAGGCATCGCCCCATTGGCATTGGCGTTCAGGGACTCGCCGATGCCTTGATTCTGATGAGATTCCCCTACGAAAGCGAGGAGGCGGGTCTCCTGAATCAACAGATCTTTGAAACGATATATTATGGAGCCCTGGAAGCCAGTTGTGAACTGGCCCAGGTCGAAGGCCCGTATGAAACCTACGAGGGCAGCCCCGTGAGCAAGGGAATCCTCCAGTACGACATGTGGGACAAGGTACCCACGAACCTCTGGGACTGGGCAAAGCTGAAGGAATCGATCAAGAAACACGGCGTTAGAAACTCTCTGCTCGTGGCCCCCATGCCCACGGCATCCACTGCCCAGATAATGGGCAACAACGAATCCTTCGAGCCGTACACCACGAATATCTATACACGCCGCGTTCTCTCCGGCGAATTCCAGGTGGTCAACCATCACCTATTGCGGGATCTAACTGAGCTGGACTTGTGGGATGATGACATGAAGAACCAGATCATTTCCAGCCGTGGCTCTATCCAGAATATCGAGGCCATTCCCCAGAATGTTCGCGATCTGTACAAGACGGTTTGGGAGATCTCTGTGAAATCCACCATTAAAATGGCCGCAGATCGCGGTGCGTTTATCGATCAGAGTCAATCGTTCAACATTCATGTGGCTGAGCCCAACTATGGCAAGCTGACATCCATACACTTTTACTCGTGGAAGGCTGGCCTTAAAACCGGGATGTATTACCTCCGCACGAAGCCGGCTGCCAATGCCATACAGTTCACCGTCGACAAGAAGCAGGGAGCGCTCAGGGTCAATGGACAACAGAATGGCACCGCAGAGGAGGAGAATTCCCAGGAGTACGAGCTGGACAGAGAGCGCAAATTGGCGGATATGGTTTGTTCGCTCGAAAACAAGGATGCCTGCATGTCTTGTGGCTCTTAAGAAGCCAGCCCTTAAACTTAAGTCTATTTAATTGTATTCAAAACATTGAAATAAATATAAATTATGAATCGGTAAGCAAAGGTACCATCTCTTTTGAAGCTTGGGGCTGCTGTAGTGTGGTTACTCTTGTATTACTCTTGTTCTCGGGTATAAAAACTGAAATTTTATTTTAAATTACAATCGGAGGCCAAACGTTTTTTCGACTCTTTGGGAATGTTGATTGTACTATTGCTGTTGCTTGTGAACTGACTGTGAACGACATCCTTTGGCGTGGACACATACTGGTGATGATGTGATGATATCGCATTTTCCGTGATTATTTTCCGTACAACTTCCTCAACGGTTGACGGGGGGGTGTTGGTGTCAAAGTCCCCTTGCTTTGTATTATCTAAGGTGACGACACTTAATGGCTGCTCGGCGTTGTGGTCTACGGAATCCATGCCGTTCTTGGCATTGAAAAAGTCCAGGACCATAGATACTACAAGAAAGCAGGCGGCGTTCATGGGAAATGATCGAATGAGCGTAGAGTTGAGACCGCGGAAGAAATATTGCGGCCCATCGCTCTTAAAGCCCTTTATTGCACAGTCGAGGAATCCATTGTACTTGGCATCCTTGCCCAAGGCATCGGCTTGCATGTGCGTTTTCACCACATCGATGGGATAGCAGAATAGCCAGGAGGTGCATCCAGCTAAGCCTCCTGCTGTCAGGGTATACGCTATGCTCGGCGTCTGCATCTGGCGCATCATGAACTCGTAGGACACAAAGTAGCTGGCGAATCCTGAGCAAACCAAGGATGTTGTGCTTAGTTATGTTAGTGTTGAGAATATTGCCGTACTCACCTGGAATATCTCTTAAAATTGTGGCCAGTAATCCCTTGTAGGTGGCCCTTATGCCCTCCGTTCTTAAGATATGTGTGAGGCAGTGTATTGGTCCTCGGAACTTGATGCCACTATCGATTTGCGTTGCCAGCTGAAGCCTCGTCTTGGCCAGCTCCATCGGGGCGCAGACGAAGCTCTGAGCCACGCCGGCGACAGAGCCCGCATAGAAGTGAGACAGCAGCGAATTGGGATCGGAGGAGAAGCGTTGAACATTACCATAGACCCCGAAGACTATGGCATTTACGAATCCGATTCCACCAATGGGACTGGTAATGCCGCGGTACAATCCCCTGAAGCCGTCTTTTCGTATTATCGTCTTCAGGCAGTCTACGGTTCCTTTATATTTCGGGTTTCGAGGATTATCCATTTGCATGTGAACCTTCACAGTATCGAAGGGGTGGCCAACAAGAACACCAGCAGCTCCTGAAAACGAAACAGAGTGGAATTATTATGGCTGTCTTCCGGTAGAAGAGAGACACCATTACCGCCAAGAAGTCCAGCCCCAAAGTCCACAAGCATTTTCAGCGATAAAACGGAGGTAGGTTCCAATTGAAAATCGGTGGATGGATCCTGATTGAATATATAAAAAATTATATAAAGTAGAAAACATGCTGTAAATGCTGCGCAAATTTACCTTGAGTCTTTCGCGACGGAGGTTAAATTTGAATTAAAGCTAAACTTTACACTTGGTTCATTGGTTGTCGAAATTAATTTAATATTGCCCAAGTTAAATTCAATATTTAAGAGCTTTAATTTAAGCAAAACTTAACAATATATTACGAATATTGGAGGAAACACATTGTCGCGTGCGCGTCTCAAACAAATTTTTCAGTTGTCGCGTTGATATTTTCATTGCCGGAGGTTAGAATAACTGATAAGGGGCCTATAATGTTTTAATACAAAACAGACAATTAAAAACTAAAGATTTCTATATACATTTTGACTAAACGATACCCAATAGACAAGTTTTTCATCATATCATGGAATTTTAGGGACTGACGTACATCTAAGATAAGTTCAACCAAAAATTGTATTTTATTTGTTTAGATTTAACCAATTGGAAGACTCTAATTAAATAATTTTGAAATCACCTTGTTTTTTTAGGGTATTCAATGGCCGCTACTCAAGTATTATTGTATGTAATCAATTTGATTCTATATTATGTAATTAAAGCCCAGCTTGGGACATTCTCACATTTTGTCGCGACTCGCTGTTTGTGTGAGAGATTAAGAATTTTAAAGTGTCATTTAGGTGACCTTTTTCAGGAATCTAATCGAAGTTGGGCATCAAAGACTTGGAGTCCAAGTCAATTGACTTATTATTACAAATAAAAAGTTTTTATATGCCGCTCTTCAAAGAGTAATAAGCCTTAATTGCAAGATTAGTAATTTAAATCAAAAAAGAAGATTGCTGACCTTAAAATACATTGTTATTTTAAGCTGAACTTTATTTTCAGAAGACACCTTTCGTTTCACTGTGTTCAGCCACCAGAAAGTAGGCAATACAATTTTAGTGATTTAATTTTTCAATAGTAAAAATTCTTTTAGCTTTACCTTTCCATTGCCACCTCGGAATAGTATCGTTACGGGATTCATCTCGAAGTTGTAGGTATAAAATATAACCAGCCTGGATGGTGTATGTCTCACGGTCGGTAGGAATCATGCTAAAAAGAATCAAATTTAATCAAACTTTAAAGCCGAGAGAAATCGAAAGGTTATATTTAAGATTTAATTTACTAATACCATTCAGATATTTGAATGTTTGTTTAAAAAACTCTGCGACTTACCATGTAGAAATACCCTATAGCTCATAAATCTTTCCATATTATATTGAAAAAAGGAACATTATTGTTCAACGAATATTTATGAATTTTAGAGTTTTTGTTTATTTTGTTAGACATGCCACCTTTGTTTACTAAAAAACAAATACACGTAAACATTAATAAGGTGTCAAAAAGATTTTATTAAAAAACAAAATCATGGAAAATACATTTTATAAATAACCAAATCCTTAAATATAAGTTTACGTATTTTAAATTAAATGTTTGCAGGGCAGTGATGAATTCATTTAGAATTCTATAAGGTTAACTTATAATTATTATTCTTGATCAGCATCAACAACCTGAGGTGATTTAGCAAAAATAAATCTCATAATTGTACAACTATCTGGATTAAACATTTCCAATAATCATTCTTTCTACTGCAACAGCTACTATAGGGACGATTGAAAAAGTAGTTCTAAAATGCGATCTACAATTCCTTTTTCTTTGTTGTTGTCAGTATTATAATTTATAATATAAACATCAAAACCAATCTGCAACGGCATGCCGAAGTTAGCTTCCTTTCTTGTTCATTTTAAAATAATCAAGAAGTTTTTTAATATAAAAAATCCGATTTTATAATACAAAATAATATTTTTCTAAGTCAAGGAATCATTTCCGACCCCATATATTCTTGATCAGCATCAACAGGGGAATCTTTCAAGATATGTCCGGAAGAAATCGATTTTTTTGCCATTTTTGCGAAATTTGATAAGGGGTTACATCATTAAAATTAGCAAAAATGGCTAAAAATTTTGATTTCTTAAAAATTTAAATTTGGTATGCAGTTTTTTTAAATTAATAAAAACTAACACAAAACTGCTTTCCGAATCGAAATTAATGCATTTTTGGCTTAGTTATGATATATTTTAATTGCAAGGGTATACAAACTTTGGCTGGCCAAAGTTAGCTTTCTTTCTTGTTTTAAAATTCTTTAACTATTTTATTTATCATTTTATAAAATACCCACAACTTTTACCATATACTTACTAGCTATCATAGAAACTAGAGGAAAATTGACATAACATAACTTTTTTTTAAGCCAATTGGCAATTTTTATTAAACATTTTTATATATCCATCCTTTTATTTCAGATGCTTTCCAACATTCTTGTTAATTATAGGTAAACTTACAAATATCTTTACAGAGCTAATGGCTTTAACAATATGGCCAACATTGTAGACATTTTTGGTGAAAAAAAAGTGTAGATAAAAACATTAATCAACCAACTTGACTGCACCCCTGCTCAATTTACAAAACCGAAAATATTTTCCCTCCAAATTACTCATGGTTTTTCGCATATTATGCCCCTACCTAGAGGGTTCAGAATGCAGCAATATGAATCGTATATTTATATAGAATACAGATAGTTCAAAGCAGCGGCGCAACCGCTCTCCCAGAAGTTCTTTTCTAGCTTTAAGCGACCTGCGGCGATCATAATAGATTCATTTGTATTTGTTCACTTGTGTGTGCATCTACAACTTATAAAAAGCCCATCGAACGAAGCGAAATATTTCAAAGCTTTTCTATCTGCACGTATATAAAGTTCATGAAGTTCATTTAGTCTTAAAGTACAACTCGGTGGGTGAGTATCGCAAAAAGCTTTTCCGCTAAATATTTTGAGGTCATCTCTGCTGGAACGACCGAAGCGAATTGTCTTTCCTTGGCGGCCACTGCCATATACCTGTGTATATTTTTATCTACATTCGATGGGTTGTACCTGCCGTATATGTGCGATTTTGAATCTGTAAATGGATGCAAATCTGAGAATGTTTTATATAACGCCAATGTTTATTGTACCTCTATGTATGCATATGTACAGCAACAAATATGTGTGTAGACTGAGGAAAAGTGTGTATTTGTTTGTGTTTTAAAATAATCTACATGATCTCACATTAGTGACGGCCTCGGGCCCCGAAAAGAGCTATTTCGTGCGTGCGTGTGCCTCTCCCCAAAGGCGCCAAAAGGTAAAATACATTTTACCTGTTGAATTGGCAGAAGCAGACAGCCCCAAAGCTCTAAAGTAGTTAAAACAATATAATCTTTTGTTTAACAAGTGATATAACGTGAGCATATGTGAATTGAGTGTGCCTGTGTGCCTTCTGCAATCATATGATTGTAGATTACCCGAAAATTAACGCCCTAGAGAGTGCAATATATAGTGCAGGGCGGCTATGTTTATAAGAAATATTTATGTTGATCATTGCCAGCGATCGTGATCGGCACGAAGCAATCTCTAGATCATTGCTAGACTCTCGTGTGTCTGTAAATATTCCCAGGAAATTAAACAAACTATATCGAACTCGAATATTTGAAAAAAACAACGCAAAATAACTACAAGAAAATAGAAACTTAAAAATGTTAATATACATAACAACTATTTAAGTGTAAGAATGTGTTTAAACAATGTATTGAATAGTATATACAACTTAAAAATAGATCTCAAATAATTTAAAAACTTAAATAAAGCTTTGCAAAAACTACAAAGTGCGGAAAGCAAAATCAGTATTCACCTCAATATAAAATAAATAATAATCCATAAATAAAAGTGTAGCCTATAAAATGAGCAAAGTCCAGGTCACTGTTTAATTATAATGATGTATGTGTATATCAAACAATTATCTGATAAGACCTTGGTGACGTTCAGAATCGAAGCAAATTTCGTTTAGCAACAGGGCGACAATTCCGCCGAACCTCTTATTTTTATACCCTTGCAGGGTATTATAGTTTTAGTCAGAAGCTTGCAGAGCAGTGAAAGATCCTTTTCCGACCCCAGAGATCATTTATATTCTTGATCAGCATCAACAGGCGAGTCTTACTCATTTGTTAACCTAATTACTAACAATCCATGATCCTACAGCAAACTGTAAGAGTGTTTAAATTTCGGCTTCCCGAAGTTAGTTTCCTTGTGATTATTAATATTTGTGCATCAGGGAGTGTTAATTTAATCAATTTTATATGTATAGAATGTCGTAAGACTTATATACTTAAAATCACATGAACCGGTTTTGATTCACCCTGATTACTATATAAATATACATTTATATATTGTAGAAATTAACTTAAATACTTCTTTCAGTTGTTTTATTTAACGCAGGCATAAATACATATTATTTCCTACAATGAGTTTGCACAAACGGAATCCTAGTCACATCTCAATTTACGACTATCCCGAACACCTGAATCCCTTCTACGAGGATGACAATCACAAGCGACTCCGATTCTGGAAGTTTAGCAAAAAGAAGAATGATAATGGCAAGCATAGTTTGTCAATTGGAAATCTCCAGGAATTATGGTAAGATAAAGTAATAGGTATATAAATAACACACACTTTGCTCATCGCAAAAGTGAGATCACCCCGAGATTCTCACACACTCTGAGATCGGTATTTTCACTTTTTCTTTTAGGAAATCGTACTCGTTTCGTAAAAAGAAGTCTTCCACATTGGGAATAAATAAAACCTCAGAAAGCCCGCCGACACTCAGACGTGATTTAAATGACAAGTAAGTATTTACTAAATAATTAACTCGAGTGTCCAATTTGTTGAATAGTATCTAATCTATATGAACTGTAGTTCGTATATGAATTCCAGAATCTTTAGAGGAGACCGCCACACATCATTGCAAAACATTGATACGCGGAGAGAGGTAAGAATGAAGGATTGTAGCTGATGCGAATAATAATATTTGTTCCTTAATTTCTACAAAAGTCGGATTCGAATGGAATGTTTTTCCATCGAAATGTGGGATACCGAAGCACAACACAGTTTTCGGGATACTCCATGCCGCATCATCAGAATATAAGGTACTAAAAATAAATCATAAAAAATATTGTGTAGCAAAACATGAAATTATTCTTGATATCCTTAACCAGATCCTCGCAAACTAGTCTGAGCACAAACCCCTTCGAATCGGATGCCGGCTCATCGTGTCCCAGTTCCCCCATGAGCACCAGGAAGCAGTATCGCAAGAAGAGGAGAGCTCCGCCGCCACCAAAGAGATCAACGGTAACCAGCTCGCAGTTCCAAATCAAAAGTACACCCAGTGCTATCTATATTAATTGCCTCTTTACCTTCAGATACCGGACTACCTAGCTACCAAAGACATTGAGTCACTTGCCTCTGAAATTGAAGAGTTTGTCAACAACAGAAACGAATCTACAATAAATCCACCAGTTGAAAAGGAAGTAGTTGTTGAGAAGCTATCAGTAATTGTGCCCGTATCTGATATCGAACCTAACCCCAGCACGTCCAAAGCACCGCAGCAATCTAATGAATCTGCCAAACGCACAGACACTGAACAAGAAAAGGTGTCCGTTGTTACGGTCACCAGGTCCAACCCCCGCATGTCCACCACTCCACCACCACCGCCACCCTGTATTGCCAGCGTGCACTTGAAGCAGTCCCTTGAGTCGGATCTTGAGAGGCAACCACTACCACCAGTCCCAGTCACAGTCCTCCCTGAGCCACTGAAGTCTGCTAACCCATCTAACTCCAGCACGTCCACCACACCGCCCCCTCATCCGCAGTGCATTGCCAGTGTCCATGTAAAGCAAACCACTGAATCCAAAACTCTAAGCACCGATCGCAAGCCAAATGAGGCCAAAGAAAGCAACCAACTTGATAGAAACAGTGTCTCAATTCGCGACTCTAATAGCCGAAAAGAGACTTTAGTAATTAATGGCATTTCAAAGGAGGCTTCCGAGCCAAGTCAGACAAGAATTGTAAATCAATCACTAACCGTAACTGAATCTAGAAGCCAAATTGAGCCTAACAAGCCCTCCAATGGAGTTTTTCAGCCCGAGGAACAAGCTCAAAATGGTGAGGAAAGCATCATTCAGGAAAGGAAAACTAATTCCTTTGGAACGGTCAAGCAAATTTCACAGATTTTCGAAGAGAACATTAGCAGTAGCTCGAGTCTTGTCAAAGAAAATCCCAAAGCAAGCTCACCGAAGCCAGAGAACCTTAACATTTCAAATGCTTCCCCTCCAACGAGCTTACCGGCGGCCACTGAAGTTCTGCAGATAAAAGAAGATTTTGAGTTGGAAAATCCGACTGGAATTTCCAGCCGATATAACCATAATGGCAGCAGAGCTACAACCTCGGCGGAATGGGAAAGGGAAGAAGCAATGCCCACACCGCGGATGCGGAAGAAGAAGTCCATCAAGGAAGTCCTCGAATCCATTAGTCGCAATCAGAAGATCCTAAACGAGAGTGCAGCCAAGGGCACAAAGGTGTACTTAACACCAACGTACGCTGAAAATAGGTACAACTATCCCAATGAGTTGAACAACGTCAGTCTGCGATCCTCCAAGGAGGTGACATCTGCTAACATTTCGGTTGGCAGCACTCCGGAGGCCAATGAACAACAACTAGCCACCAAAAATAATTTGTTTATAAGCAAAATAAACAAAGTCAAGGGCCCGTATAGAGAGTCATCGCCCACGTCATCGAACTTGGATTGGAATCCGGTACCAAAGCCGAACCGAGCCCATCATTCAGCCAACTCTAATTTCAACAACAATGGCACGTTATAATCCGTTGAATAAATGTATAAACAAGTGAATATTTAAATTAAACAACTAAGTAATATGAAAAATATATATCAAAAAAAGTATTTATAACAAAGAAATTAAAGAAATTATGTTTTCTACTGTTTTAGAAAATTTATTAATATTATTATTATCTTTAAAGTAACAATTGTTTTAGTAAAGTTGTTGAAAAAGACGAGTTTTTTGGACACTAATTTTCCTACTTGCAAATTCATCAGTATTATTACATCTCACACTAGTGCGACTTCATCCTCAGTCGCTCAGAAGAGTGCCCGTTTTGCTGTCCCGCGGGCTCTTCTTTGGTAAGCTTGGATACCTCATCGTAAAATCGGGGAAAGTATTGGATGGCGAGGAATACGGCCAGCAGATAGACGCCAATTACCATGGTTAGGAAGAGATCAAAGATCGCCGGCTTAACTCGGTAAACATTCAGCTTCACGTCGTTCTCATTGTAGAACATAAACTCCGGATCTCGACCGTCGGGCTTATCGTATATTATCTTGACATTGTTGAGGTACTTCTCGAAAGCATCCTTAACATCGTTATTATGCAATATGGACTTGACTCCAAAATATGGCAAAAGATTCTCCTCCTTGATGGCCTGCAAGCAAAGCACAATGGGGAAAAATAAGACAAACTTAAAAAGTTAGAAAAACACACTCACCAATTGCCCATCGAAAACGCTGGAAATCGGATCCACTTTGTACATGTAGCTGGCCAGAGCCTCCGCTATAACTCGCGATGTGTTCAGAGTGTGCTCCACAAAGAGCCTCTCATCGTTTTTAAAGATGGTTGTCCGTATGGGGCTCCTCGGACTCTTCACCGACGACAGCGTGAAGGAAGGATAACGCTTAATGCTAAAGCGTTCGTGCTCCCACGCCAGCTTTGTGTCTGCCAGGTTGATCTTCTTGTGCACGCCCTCAACCGTCAGGCCGTTAGTATACTTCTCAGCAGCCGCCTTCAACAGCTTAAAGAAGTTGCTAATGGAGGTTTTCTCTTTTGGTGGCTTCGAGACGTGCATATAGAGCGCGTTGTCTGCGCCAAGAGATAGGCTCTCCGTGATGGTATCCAAGCAAAGCACAAATTCGACATTCTAAGGAGGATAATATATAATATATTGCATAAATAAGTTTGCTTGACCTCACAGATCCTACCTGAAGCGCATTGTCGTCTATTTCGAGCCATTTCTTGGAGCCTTGGAAGTTAAGTAGAACGCCGGCATCGGAGAGCAGGAATCGGAGACGATACTTGGGAGCCATACTGGTGGTATAATGCATCTTGCTGAAAAGCTCCATGAGTACAAGCAAAACAGCAGCATCGGCATTCGCTGGATAGTCCTAATTGGGTTAAAAAAACAATCAGTGCCATGTTCGTAGAGTTTAAAAGCTTATCAGTAATCAGTAATAAACATAAGATACCTTATCTGCAAAGCGCAAATGCAGATTACAGCCTTATGTTTGGCAACTTACATTGTATATGCCAAACGTTTTCAGGTTAGCTGTTATAAGAATGACGGGTAGCTTCTGGCCATCGCCCACTGTTTCGCTGGGCTTTAGCGCCAATTGATTCGGTATGAGCTCGCCGTGGATGATAGGAACTTTGCTGTTCTTGTTGGCCACAATGCTGCCACCGCCGACATTGACATGGTATCGATTGGCCGACACCGTCACAATCAATTGACTTAGCGCCGTCTGATTCTGGGCCACATTATCCGTTGTCGTGTACGTGATATCGTCGATGATTTTCTCCAAATCCTTGTTGTAGGGAGCGAAAAAGATGGGTGCCACAGCTGTATATGTGAGCATCGACTGCTCCAAGATGGTAATCAGTTCTCTGGCTTCAACGTCCAGGTCTAGCATATTGGAAGGCAGCATAAGGATAATACCGCCCGCATTTTGCCGTAGCTTGTCAAAGTCGTGGATAGACAGGTCGGTTAATCTGTTTTATATAAAATATATATTTTAACTTCTTATTACTTTAATGTTATTTAATTGAGAAAAGTACTTACCGAGTTAGGACGCAGTGCCTAGAGGTATTCCATGAATACAGGGATCTTGCCTCCAAAGAAATTGAGGGAACGCGGCTGCCTACAATAAGGAAACAATTTTTAATCTAATTGTAAAATCTCACTAGAAACGAAATATTCCAATTACATTACATTAAAATAGTTAAGCATTAGCTTAGAAAATAAACGAAATTTCCCCCGTTACATTAATATATACAATTTTAGAAAACAGTCCAAAGGCTGTTTAATAATTTGCATAATTTCAAATAAACAACTAGAAAGCTTCAACCTAAAAATTAACACTAAATGTTATAAATATCTTTATATGACTAATTGAATAAAAAATACAAGTTAAAGAACACGTCTGCCTGCTTAATGAGATTCAATGTTACTAATTAGATAAAGGGAAAACGCCGCGCGCGTTTATGTTTCCCGAAAATTGGGGTCAGGAGCACATATCAAAAAAGTAGGCACTATTTATTTGAACATATCGTAGGGTCTGCTCTGTAACGAACTTACATAATTAATATTTATTTTTTCCTTTATTTACTTACCAAAATGTTGTCCATTTAGATCAAATTTGGACATGGAAATAACCTCGAATTCGCTGGGCATTACCGGTGAGCAAATTAACAACATGGATAAAACTATGAGGAGGCAGTGAGGGAGGCCGCCTCTGAATATCTCAGCAAAACTGTCTGCTTCATTCATCTTTTACTGGTTTTACTGTTTCTATATCTAATTTAATGTGCCGATGTGGGCAATTACCGAATTATAAAAAATGAATTTAAGAAAACTGTCAGCTGTTTTATCGATGACTTAGGTGGTTGCAGAATGTCATCTATCGGATTATTTACTTGTTTGAAGCGTTTGGAATGATGGAAATGAAATATGGGTTTTGGAACTAATTAAAAAGAAAGATTTATGAAATAATTAAAAAGAAAAATCAAATAATGAATAATTTCGAGACATCCTGCATATTTTTTGACAATGCAATATTAAATTCCCATATAAAATAATTATAATAATCCCAAGCAAAAAACCGCTACAATATGTCTCATTTTTGAAACAGTGGCAAAGATGGCGATAAGTTTTTCGGTTTAGCAATGCACAAACCTATCGCTCGATTTACCCATCTCTGTTTCGGCTAGTATGACTTTGAATTTTACAGATAGAAGAACTTTTATTAGCGAAGAATCAAACTATGCCCGCATTCAAAGGTATCCGACTGTTTAACTTCTCTGTTGTGTGAATGCTAATCTTGTGTTGCTTTCAGTTAAGGTTAAGTGGGGCCGGGAGCTCTACAATGATATTGATGTAAACACCGACGAGGAGCCAATCTTGTTCAAAGCGCAGTTGTTTGCGCTTACTGGAGTTCAACCGGATCGGCAGAAAGTAATGTGTAAGGGTGGCATACTTAAGGATGATCAGTGGAATTTGCAAATCAAGGATGTAAGTATCGATATGGTGGAGTTGCAGGAAGCAATCTTGGCTTAAACCCTATTCATCTTGCAGGGAGCTGTCGTATTGTTGCTGGGCAGCAAAGAGAGTGTGCCAGAAGTGCCTACAACACAAGTTAAATTCATCGAGGACATGAACGAAGTGGAACAAGCAACAGCGGTAAGAGTAATATGTATACATCCAAACGTACATGTGTTTGTATGCGCATACACTGCTAGAAATCAATGTTTGATTGTAATCTTCATGATACCTTGGATTTGAATCAAATGTATCTATATTTTGAAGACAGTAGTTTCCTAGACCCTTTTCACATCTTGAAAACTATTTATGATTAGGATATACATACTTATATAGTACAGACTTCAGAACATATTAATTACAGGCCAATGTAATCATATATTTAAAATTTTTTGCAGATGCGCCTACCGGCCGGGCTAACGAATCTCGGCAATACTTGCTACATGAACGCCACGGTTCAATGCTTGAATGCAGTGCCCGAGCTTCGGACTGCCCTGACCACCTTTAGCAATGATGGCACTGACACCATGTCGACAGCATTCTCCATATCGTCCGCCATGAAATCCATATTTGCTCAAATGGAGAAGGGCACAACGGTCACTCCAATTGTTCTGCTGCAGGCGTTACACCGTGCATCGCCGCAGTTTGCGCAGACCGGCGAGAACGGTACGTACCGGCAACAGGATGCTAATGAATGCTGGGCGGAAATTCTGAAAATGTTGCAGCAAAAACTGCGGGCCACAAGCCAAGACCCACCGAATGCAGTCCAAAAGAGATACAAGTGAGTAAAACAAATTCTTCCACAAACGCACGTACTTTATTGCCTTTCTCTTACAGCTCCTTCATTGATCAATACTTTGGCGGCAGTTTTGAAGTAAAGATGAGTTCTGAAGAGGTTCCCGATGAACCCCCCACCGTAACAACGGAGAACTTCTTGCAATTGAGTTGCTTTATATCCATGGATGTTAAGTACATGCAAAGCGGTCTGAAATCCGTAAGTTAGAGCCTTAAACTGAATAGCTATAAACGGAATAACTATAATTGATAAATTTTAGAAAATGCGCGAGACATTGGTCAAGAAATCGGAAACTCTGGGACGCGACGCACAGTACATAAGAACTGTAAGGTCTACTCGCTTTATAAATCAAAGGCTTTATAACTTAACAATGTTGTACGTTTCAGTATTTGATTAGCCGACTTCCAGCTTATCTCACCGTTCAATTTGTCCGCTTTCAATATAAGGGCAAGGAGGGTATTAATGCTAAAGTGCTAAAGGATATTAAATTCCCCATGGAGTTCGATGCCTACGAGCTGTGCACTCCCGAATTGCAAAACAAGCTGTGCCCAATGCGCTCGAAATTCAAGGATCTCGAAGACAAAAAAATGGAAGTGGACGTTGTCAAGCCCAATGAAGCAAAGGAGGAGGAGAAGGAGAAGCAGTATGAGCAATTTTGGTTCGATGATGACCTGGGAAGCAACAATTCTGGCTACTACACACTGCAAGCCGTTCTGACACACAAGGGTCGCTCAAGCTCCTCTGGACACTATGTGGCTTGGGTGCGTTCCAGTGGCGATGTGTGGTTTAAGTTTGACGACGATGAGGTCTCGTCCGTGGCAACCGAGGAGATCCTACGCTTGTCCGGCGGCGGAGACTGGCACTGCGCCTATGTCCTTCTGTATGCGCCCAGACGCTTGGAAAAGCTATAAATAATTGTGTTAACGTCATTACATTTGTATTGTTAATATAATAATTCTGAATAAATAACCAAAATCTTAATATGTTCATAGAACCACTCGCACTTTGGATTTAGGTTCGTTTTAAAGTATCTTTGGTTTTTAAAACAGAAATTTCGATCTGTTCCCTTTTTTCTCAGCGTGTATGTATGTACATGTGTATATGTGTGTTGTCTGTTTCAATTCCATTGTTTTCAGGTTTCTTTAGCGCTAACTTGACATGTTGGGTTATTATATGTATTTGTAGCACGGTCATACCATTTTGTAAATTCACAAATTACTGCAAATAAATATGGAAAATATAGATACGGAACCGAAAGATGAAGCTACTGCTAAGGAATCTATTGCCTTACGGCGGGAACTGCGCAGAAAGAAAATATTAGAAGCGTCCAAGTCACGGCTCGACAAATTGAATGGCAGAGCCACTACTTTAGAGAGCGAAACCCCAGGAAACACTGGTAAACTTACACAATGATTGCACAAAAAATAAGAACTTTTCTGACCTATCCCAAATCTTCTCTTATTCCAGATGAAAGCGCCAACACAACCCAATATTCTGATCCAGAGGTGGAACCTGACATTCCCATTCCTCGTCCATTTCTGCCGGAACAACCTGTGCCCGCAACCAAAGCCAGCGCTCCCTTAGCAAGTGCATTGCTAAAGACCCGAGTCCACATTATCTTGGCCGCATGCGGTGGCTTCCTATTGGCGCTGTACGCTAACAGCAGTGTGTTCGTTCCCGTCCTGCTTTTTGTACTAGTGGAACTTGCATTTTTGCCATATCGCAACGGAGATAATTTACCGGCCAGCGTGGCTCCGATGTTACTTTTGTTTGTCCATCCAAATATTAGCAGCAGAATTAAGCAGTTTAGCAAATTATTTGCAATCCTTCAATCATTATTGGGCGATTTGGCTATAACAGTTTGTGTTGTATGTTCAGGTAGCATATTATTAAATTTAAGCACTCTTACTGGAGAGGAATAAAAGATTTCTTTTATTATACTGTAGTCGATATTGGGCTTTATTTATTTAAATTGTTAAAAATCTAATGTTTAAAGGTACTTCAAAGATGGCTGAACAAATAAAACCATCGAGGGAACTAGAATAATGGCTGACAGGCTCAATCCACCACCAAAACCGCTGTCAGCATTGGAAACTCCAATCTGTGTCCTTTACAACACTGTTTCTTTGAAATTCTCATTTAAAATTTGTAAATTTTTTACTTTTAAGCTAATTTGAAATTTGGCATCCTAAATTTTAACATAAGCACACTAAATAACTATTCTTAACCCTCAAATGTTAACCAAATTAAGTGATTAATTATTATATATTAGTCTATCTTTACTTAATTATTTATTTTGCAACAGCAACCTAGAAAATCACTGCCTTTTGCCAAACGAATTATGTATGTAAGTATGTATTTTAAAAACCAGAAATATAAAATATTAAAAAAATATAATCCAGCAAAACTTCCTGGCTAACAATTTTCGAACAATGACGCAAATAACACTCCTCTACTGAGCATGCCCAGAAATGCCAAGGAGGACCTGTGCCCACCCCCGCCTTGCGCTCTGCGCAAACTTTGTATCGATTTTAAGACTGTGTACTTATTTCATAAGCTTGTAGCGAAAAGATGTTTTCATAAACAAGTGTATCGCTGGAATTTGTGCTAAAAAATATATGATTGGTGGTAAAGGATCCCGAACCTAAGTGCAACTATGAAGCAGCTCAAAATGGCATAACATTGTGGTCCGGAAAAGAGAAAGTGACGTTATTTTAAACACAGTCTTGGCAGAATCAATCTCTTCTTTTTTCGCCCACTAGTAATACAAAACAAAGGAGGTAAAAAATATAATGAAAATCGCATTGAAAAAACTATTTTTATGAAAGTTATCTAGGTGAAATGTAAAATTTAATGGCACAATGTCCTGAAAAGGAATAACACAGAAGTCGAATTTGCATATGAACATGAGTGTGTGCTTTGATTGAAAATCAATATTTTAAAATAGAAGAAGAGGCCATTTTATATTCAAGGGTTTTCATTGATTGTCACAACGTTAAATTTCAGCCAATATGGGAACGGTGCTGAGCTTCAATCCGCGGGATCGCCATCCCATATACTCGTCTCAGCCAAATTTTCAATATAACCATTCGAGCGATATTCGGAATGAGAACGACTCCACGGGCTCAATCGATTCTCATCTGAATAACTTCTCGTACGAGCAATTGAATAATGCCAAGAATAGGGAAAGCAAGAAGTCGGCGGCATGCCACCACCACCAGTTGTCCAAGAACGTCATCGGGCAGGGACAAGGACACGGGCACCAGGGGACTTGTGGCGGCGGAGTGCACATTAATTTGCAGACGCAAACGCAGCTGAGCTCGCACAACTTGAATAACTTGACAAATACGTCCAAGGACACCATTACCAATGTCCTGGACACGCATAACGAGAACTCCTCCGTTCTCAAGGCGGAGAAGAGCTCGTTCGAGAAGAATTTGAAGAAGCACTCGATCTTCATAAACGCCCTCTCCTGGAAGAAGCTCTCCACATCGCATAATAAGAAGAAGATCGAGAACAAGAGTAACAAGTGCGCCAACCTGCCGACGGCCTGCTTCAAGGCACAGCTATTGGAGTCCTCGTTTGCCTCCTCGTCCGACAAGAATCGAAACATCCAGCTGCACTGCAACCGGATCGAGGAGCATAACAACCAACAGCAGCAACAACAGCAACAGCACTGCAATCAGTCCCAGGAGGGACTCCATCGGGAGGAGGCTGGACTCACGGGAGCACCGGGCAAATCGCAAAACCCTTCCAAGGCGAAAGATCCCGTCAAATTGAACAACAAGAACTCGATATCCAATCACAACAACAAGCTGATCCAGAAGCAACCGCTGACGCTAACCCTGCCGCAGCAATTGCAGCCGGCGTCCATGCAGATCAAAAATACCAATCAGATCCCTCGCAAAACCGTCATCCAGGTTAGTTATGTTCCCTGAGCTTTGAATTAAATTTAAAATTTACACATCTACACACACACGAAATCCTAGTTGTATTTGGCTTTTGAACTAAGACTCTTTTCCCACATTAACATTTTAATTTTATTGAATTAATTAATTTAATTTGCATTACCATATACTCATTTTGATTTGTAGCCATTCTGTATTATATGATATAGTTTCCCATTTCGACTTACCCTTTCCATACAGAAAAGAAGCATTTAACCAGAAGTCCAGAAGCCAATAAGCATATGCAGTCTCTCATTTTAGCCTTCGCTTGTAAATATATAAACTTGATGACCATTTTTGCAGGCATCCACCTCGGAATTGCTAAAGTGCTTGGGCATGTTCTTGCATTGCCGCTGCCAGAGGCTGAACAACTTTGATGCTGGCGACGCTGTAATGTGGCTCAGAGCGGTTGATCGCAGTCTACTTCTCCAAGGATGGCAGGTAAAGTGGATTTAAGAGATTTAAGTGATTTTTGGAAGTATAAAAACCCAATTAACACACATGAAACTAAGAATATTACAAATAAAATATACGTTCTTTAAGATATACGCTTTAAATCATGTTTTTTTTTTTTATGAACGTCTTCGAAAATCCCTTCATTTAATCGGATACTTATACCCTTGCAGGGTATTATAATTTTAGTCAGAAGCTTTTAAAACAAAGAAGGAGTCATTTCCGACCCCATAGATTATATACATATATTCTTGATCAGCATGAACAGACGAGTATTTCTAGCAAGGTTGGAAAGAAAAAAATTATTTTCATTTTTTTCGAAATTTTATAAGGGTTTACATCGTTAAAATTGTCAAAAATTGGCAAAAATTTTAATTCTAATTTAAGTATGCAGATTTATTAACCTCCTAAAAACTAACACAGAAAAGCTTTCCGAATTGAATTTGATGATTTTTTGACTTAGTTATTCTATTTTTAAACTTTGATTTCTCAAAAAATTAACCTATAAATTTAAATTTTCATTTAAAGAATTCAACCTGAAAGGTTTTCTTGATTGTAGTCAAAGAAGTAGCCTATTTTCCCATTTCCTTAGAATGTTATAAATTTTCAATGAATTATTTGCTTAATAAATATCGATTTTTGATTAGATGCCATGATGATGGCATACAAATTTCGGCTTCCCGAAGCTAGTTTCCTTTATTGTTCCATATGAATTTAGATTATCCGGCTCCTAAGACCTCCGAAGCTTACTAATTATTGGTTTTCCCCTCGGTTTGTAGGATGTGGCTTTCATAAATCCAGCCAACGTGGTGTTCGTGTACATGCTAGTTCGCGAACTGGTCAGCGGCGAGGAGAGCAAGGAATCAGAACTTCAGGCTTCAGTACTCACCTGCCTGTACTTGTCGTACTCATACATGGGCAATGAAATCAGCTATCCCCTCAAGCCGTTTTTGGTTGAAGACTCCAAGGAAAAGTTTTGGGACAGGTAAGCAGTCTCCTTGTGATTTATATTTAAAAACAAATAATCAACTATTCTCCGGTATAATTAGGTGTCTCGTCATTGTGAACAAGCTAAGTGATAAAATGCTTAAAATCAATGCTGAGCCTGGCTTCTTCACCGAAGTCTTCACTGAGTTGAAGTCTTGTGGTCAATATCATCCTACAATTAAATCGTACTGTGGAGGAGCCTGACGGACGGATGACCGAGAGATTATTGTCAACCTCTCATTGTCTGCGCATCGCCAGAAATTTCCCCAAGAAATTATGGCGAAATACCGTTAAATAAAACTTAATATTTTATAAAACATTAGACAATTTCATTATGTCACTATCACAATCGTTCAAATCAAATAATAAAGAATTAGTGTTTAAATAAAATTAACATCTACGATATGTGTACGTACACTCAGCTTGTTTTACCTTTATCTTGATTGAATTTTTAATTTACGGATATTTGGAAGTTTACAGAGGTGGCAGAAGCATGTGGGAGCACTAACCTCTACCTGGAAATGGAACTGCATCTTTAAAAACGATTCTTCATCTGCAGGAAATACAATAAATTGTATTTGAAATAAGACATCAAATTGTATATGCAAGTAAATGAGGTTTTATTTTACAATTGCTATATTTACATATTCTAAAAATTAATGTTAAGAGCAATTTAATTTGGATACAATATATCGTAATGACCTGGCCTGTAAATCAGGTAAATTCTGGGCTCAGCTCCCTCGGGAAAGTCGTGGGCCTTAACCGTTCCACCCTCGCCCCGATCCAAATACTCCACGCGCACTCCCGCACCGAGAGCGGTGCACAGGGCAATTATGTGAATATGATCGGATTCCTTGTACATGGGCTCAACCTCCTGATGCCGAAACTCTTCGATTGTGAAGTCGCCCTCGATAAAGTTCTGGTAAAAGTCGGCCTCCTCCTGCAGCTTCCCCGACGTTATCAAACGCAAATAGACCACCACATAGTCGGAATAGCCTTGCTCATTGAATATCTTGTGTAGCTCGCTCTGCACCTGGCTCTGGCTCTGGCCATTCTCCGGACTCACGCGCTTGATGACTTCCATGAACTGGAAGGAGGATGGTCAGGGATGAACATTAATAAGATGTGCCTGCTTACCGTTTCGTGAAAGTCCTCTAAAGTAAAGCTGGGAAAACCAAGCTGAACGAGCTTGTCTTTGGACTCCTCGGCCAGTTTGCGGAACTCCTGGTAGGCACTAACATTTGAGATCAAGTACTCTAAGTACGAGTAAGCAAAGGCTCGGAAGAAACAGTTGCCGTCGGGGCGGGTGCGCCGGATGAACTTGTACTTCTTGGAGAGATCCTGGATCTTTGCGGTGAAGATCTCGTCGCCATTGTATTCGGTCCACAGGCACGTCAGCGGCAACTGATCGCTGACCAGCGGTGTTGTTTCGCTGATCTGCATTCCCATTTTATATTTACATTACGCTGCATTTCCAGTGAATAAGTCAATGGCAGGTCTTACCTCCTTCTCGATTTCCCGCTGCTGCTTAATAATTAACTCATCACGGTTGCCATCATTTTGCTTAAACGATTCCATCTTTCTATAAATACTGAATAAATTAGGAACCGTGTTTCGGTTTTACAAATGTCTACATATGAATACAAGAATATTTGTTCATCATATGTATGTGTAAACGCATCGAAATTACGCACACTCATTTAGAAACAAAAACCGTAGACACATTGATGCTTTCAATGTTATCGTTCCCGATGTTATCGAAACTGGTGTTCCAGTTTCCCACATTTCTAAAATGAAACATTGCTGTTAATTTTAATTTTAAAATATTTTTGTGAAGCAAATTAAATTTAAATTGTATGTTGAGTTGTTTTTTATTTCTTGTATCAGATAATTACGGTATTAAAAAATTATCGAAATGGAAATTAAGCAACTATTCTAAGTATTAAAATAAACACAGATTTGACTGTTTAAAAAACTTAACAACTTGGGTAAATATAAAATATATATATATATATATATTAATATAAATATCATTGCACTTGTGACTATATATTCAAGTATATATAATTTAATACCGAATAAGTTATAATAGTTTTAGGAAAAAAATTTAAATATAATTACCACATACTTTTTCACAGTGTAATTTGTAAGCTGGGGAACTTCTCAGCTTAAAGCTTCTTCGCAAACGAAGATCATCAGCTCAAACTTAGGATTGAATCAGAAATCAAATCAGTTGAGTCTTTTCTTCATTGCATGCCGATCATTTCTCTAGAGTCGCGCTTTAGTTAAATTCACAAAATCGGGTATGTACATATTTACCTCTATAAAAAAAAACAATAAAATTTGAATAGAAACTTTTGAAATAGACCCATTTACAAGAGGTTATTTTAATTATTTATATTTTTAGTAAATAATAACATACCCAAAGAAATATACATATGTATAGTATGTACTTTTATTGATTGTAATCAATCTACCAGATATTAAAGTTCATTGAATAGTATGCGCCTGTCCTACAGTTATAAACTCTCAAGTATGTATACATACATATGAGAACTAAAAACCAGTTCTCTTCTCATTATATTTGCTAAAAGCCAAAGTTATTGTTGGCATGAGCAGTAATGAAGGTTTATTTATGCATTTTAAATAATTATATAAACGAAGGGGCGCAATTATTTGACAATTGTAGGACCCAAATTAAAAAGACCCAAGAAACGAGGTTATCATCATTATTTTGTGATTTTTTTTCTAGATTATTTAAGGTCTAACGAAGGCACAAATAAACATACGTAATAATTTCTTATCACCTAAAACATATATTAAAGCTTTAATTGGAACATATTTACGTGATTGCAAGATGTACATACTCAATGGCGCTCCAATTTTTTAATATATTTAATGATACTTTATATGTATGATACGATCGTGTAACAAAAGAAAGAAAGCCAAAACAAGATGCTAATTCAACTCTGAAGATTGGGGAAAGCTTAGTCACCATTAAGATCCGTTTCGTTTCAATTTTAATTTTCTGCCAAGGGATATTGGGGATATTTTATGTAAGGAAGAGCCAAGCCAATAAAATTCATATTTTTAATAGTTTATAATACTGCCAAGGCTTATGCATATATTTTTTTAATATTTTGTATTATATTTCCAGTAACATGATGATACTAAATTGTATCATAATATGCGCCTGCATATTCACTTGCCGGGCACAAGACACTTCCTTGGACAACCTGATCGCGGACATCTTCAAAACAGATGAGACGGAGTCTTCTACCGCGAATCCAACTCCTATTTCGCCTGTCCCTAATCCTGTCACCGTCAAGCCAAAAGACTCATCTCCATTAACTCCCTCGGGCTCAGAAGTGTATCAGTCCTGCGGTGATCAAAAGGAATGCGTGCCCCGATGGCTGTGTGCCAATGACACCATCAACACCAGTGGCGAGGGTATCATTGATATTCGGATCGACACAGGGTCACCGTGCAAAAACTATTTGCATTTATGCTGTGACCTTCCCAACAAGGTACAGTTCTATATACATAAAGTGTGTTAATTGACAATTCATAAACAAATTCGTTATATAGCGGGACAAGCCCATATTCCCAGTTACGCCGGAAACCCCCGAAGGCTGCGGGTACACAAACCCGAACGGTGTTGGCTTTAAAATTACCGGAGCTGTGAATCAAGAGGCTGAGTTCGGGGAGTTTCCCTGGATGCTGGCGATTCTACGAGAAGATGGCCCCCTCAACTTGTACGAATGTGGAGGAGCTTTGATAGCGCCAAATGTTGTCCTAACTGCCGCCCATTGTGTTCACAACAAGCAACCAAACACCATTGTTGGTTAGTATTTAAAGCGAATCGCTTATTTATTATTTATTTATTCTATAATTAAAATCTCTACCTCTTCCAGTGAGAGCTGGAGAGTGGGATACTCAGACGAAGACAGAGATCATCGCCCATGAGGACCGTTACGTTAAGGAAATTGTATACCATGAGCAGTTTAACAAGGGCTCCCTGTATAATGACGTTGCTGTGCTGTTATTGGAAAGTTCGTTTGAACTGCAGATGAACATTCAGCCAGTTTGTTTGCCCAATGTACAAGACGTCTTCGATTATGACCGGTGCTATGCCACTGGCTGGGGCAAGAACAAGTTCGGCAAGGAGGGAGAGTACCAGGTGATCCTTAAGAAGGTCGACATGCCCGTGGTGCCAGGAGAAACGTGCCAGACGAACTTGCGCGCCACCCGCCTCGGAAGGCATTTCCTGTTGCATGACAGCTTTATCTGCGCCGGCGGGGAAAAGGATAAGGATACCTGTAAGGGCGATGGCGGATCTCCATTGGTGTGCCCCATTAAGGGCCAGAAGGGTCGCTATAAGTCAGCTGGAATTGTCGCCTGGGGAATAGGATGCGGAGAGGTTAACATTCCAGGAGTGTACGCCAACGTGGCCAAGCTTCGTCCATGGATTGACTCGAAATTGAAAATATGGGGAATTGATCCCAAATATTATACGCCTTAAGAATCAACAAAAATTTTAATAAGATGAATAATAATAAAAAAAATTAAAACCACTTTTACTTCAAAATAGTTATCTCAAATTACTGGTTGTTTTAATTCTTTAAGAATAAACAAATCAATAATTAAAATATAAATATAAATAATGCATAAATGTAAGTAGTACAATTTAAAATATATGGGGGAAAATAACTAACTTTGGAGTTCTGAAAATTATCTTTCAAAAAATATACCTTTGAAAAAAAAGCTTTGTTTATTTTTGTTTCAAACGAATCAAAAGACCTATAATGCTCCATTTTTATCACAAATTATAATTTAATTTTAATATAAATAACTTGTAGACAAGCATTAAGAGATATTCGCAACCCTTTGCGTATTTTAACTACCTTTTCAGCTCGGAAATACCCTTAATGAGTATTTGAACCACCGCCACAAAAAGGAAATTTTTCATATTGCAATTCGGTCACACTGACGTGCGTGCATGGAAAATAGAACCAAAGTCAGATCTGTTCCAATTTATTTTCATTAAAATTATACACATCTCTGATAAAACATGGATAACTTCGGCCTTGGAGGATCAGTGGATCTCAGCAAGGGACAAATGTTCCAAGTGTTGATTCGTCTCTCAGTGGCTTCGTTGATAACATATTATTCGGTTAAGTGGATGATGAACCAGTTGGACCCGACCAGTAAAAACAAGAAAAAGGCAAAGATCCTTGCTGAAGAGCAGCTAAAAAGGTATCTACTGGCGCTTACCAAATTAATTTGTATTATTTTTACATTAATTCACACTTTTACTTGCATTCGGCCCGCAGACTTGCTGAGAAAGATGGCTTTAAACTCAATCCCCAGGAGTTTAACGACTACGAGTTGATGATTGCGTCACATCTCGTTGTTCCAGCCGACATACAAGTCAGTTGGTCGGATATAGCTGGCTTGGATACGGTTATTCAGGAGCTGCGCGAGTCCGTGGTTCTTCCGGTGCAACACAAGGATCTTTTCAAGCGCTCGAAGCTTTGGCAAGCGCCCAAGGGCGTTCTGCTGCACGGCCCGCCTGGGTGCGGGAAAACGCTGATAGCGAAGGCCACGGCCAAGGAGGCCGGCATGCGCTTTATCAATTTGGACGTTGCCATTCTTACCGACAAGTGGTACGGGGAATCCCAGAAACTAACCTCAGCCGTCTTCTCGCTGGCAGAAAAAATCCAGCCATGTATAATATTCATTGACGAAATCGATTCCTTCCTGCGTTCCCGTAATCTTAATGACCATGAGGCCACCGCCATGATGAAGACCCAGTTTATGATGCTGTGGGATGGCCTCAGCACCAATTCCAACGCGACGGTTATTGTGATGGGCGCCACAAATAGACCCCAGGACCTGGACAAGGCCATTGTGCGTCGCATGCCGGCTCAATTCCATATCGGCCTTCCGTCCGAAGTCCAGCGAAGAGATATACTTCAGTTGATTTTGCAGTCAGAGGAAATTAGTGGTGATGTGGACTTGAATCGTTTGGCCAAGCTTACGAATGGCTTCTCGGGCTCTGATCTCCGGGAGATGTGCCGCAACGCATCCGTTTTCCGGATGAGACAGCTTATCGGGGCCGGAAGCTTGCCAACTTTGGATCGAAATAGCGTCAACATCACAATGGATGACCTGCTAAGCTCACACTTAAAAATTAAGGAGTCAAAGATGCACACTGGGAGTCTATTTTTAGAGAATAGAATTGAGCTAGACTAAGTCCTTAACGGTTGGTTGAATAAATCTTAAAACATAAATTTAATTCAATTTAAAAATGCTTTTAACTTTGATAATTTTAAGTTGTACTGCTGAGCGGTAGGTAATCTCGTTGCAGATTAGAGAAAATAGGGAATAAATATAATTAGTCGACAGTGCTTCCTTCTCTTACTTAACCCCGTTCTCCCCAATATCTAATTTCCGGAAAAAATGCTTTATACTCGTGTAAAGCGGCAGCTTGAACAGCCAAAATTACATAAGACCGCCAGCGGTTCCGCAAACTAAGGCTCAATGCACTTTAATTACAACATGGGTGCGATCCTCCTTGAAATATTCACCTAGAGAAATTTAAAACATTTACAAAAAATATTGCACTTGTACTCTCGCCCAAGCAACGTCACGCGATCGAAGGCTTTCAATCGTAAAAAATATATATGTATAAACGGTGCTGTTGGATTCTCTTATTAAAAGTGTTTAAATATGTTTACACGTTTGGAGAGGCTCTAAATTATATATTTATCTAATATAGGAAAGAACAATTAAATAAAGTAAAGCACACTTGTAGTAGGTGGTAAATATGAACTCTTTCTTATATTACCTAATTTTTGAATTGAATTTGACTCTATGGGAAGAGTATACAAACTTCACTTAGTTAAAATATCTTCAAGTTTCTTTTAATTATGTTTCATGCTCATATAAATGCTTTCTTCCAGGGGCAAGCAAATCATTTCTGTTGAAGATATTGAACGAACCGCTGCAAGCTCGAAGCAAGGCTCCAAAAACATTAAAGAATGATTCCATTGGTGAATATACACCCTGCAGTCGTAGGATATTTGTTATAATTAATTCTACTTTGTTACTATTCTCTCCTACAGATTATGTTTTCCGGATATCTATTTATACCCCTTATAATATTTGGATATACAGCGCCAAGTGAATCCTATGCTGTTAATCGGAGTAGTAACGCCGAGAGTCACGATTGGACCTATCCTGAATTCGGAAAATTATCCTTTCGCCATGGAGGAAGATCAGAAAACGGAGATACTCAAAGTTACCATCGCGAGGCTGAACGAAATGCTACTTTGAGGCGCGGAAATAACTATCACAAGCCGACCGAGAAAATAAGTAGACATAAGAGCAAATACAAGCCCTCGTCATTTGATCGAAGAAAGAACACAAATTCCCATTTGGCTGGTGATACAGAAAGTCGGCACTATCATACTTTTGAGGAAATCCATGAGCACGTAGAGGAGGACGACGATGGGCAGCAGTACCAGGCATCGGAGCAAATTGGTACCCAATCGATCCTGCACGAAAATATCAAGGATCATCATTCCAGCAAGAAAGATGAGAAACAGATGAAGGTTAAGATAAAGCATCATCATCATCACCATCATCACAACCACATTAAGGAAATGATAAAGACAGTACCCCAACCGTATCCTGTGGAAAAGGTTGTGCACGTGCCCATTGAGAAAATTGTGGAAAAAATTGTGCACGTTCCAAAGCTGGTTAACGTTACGGTTGAGAGAATTGTGCATGTGCCCGTTGAAAAAATTGTCGAAAAAATCGTTCACGTTCCAAAACCGGTGCAGGTCCCAAAACCTTACGTTGTGGAGAAAATCATTGAGAAAATCGTCCATGTTCCAAAGCCATATCCTGTCCTTCGCACTGTTCCGTATCCGGTGGAAATTAAGGTGCCCATAGCACTCGAGAAGAAGGTGCCCGTTCCCTACAAGGTTGAAGTGGAACGAAAGGTTCCCGTTTACATTCGATCGAACGAGCCATATAAATTCGAGCCATCGCCTTTTGAAAGCTATCACCAGCCCGAAGAGTTTAAATATAATATGGAAATTGATCATCCGCCGCCGCATCAGCCTAGAGATCATGAGCAAGCTTCCCTGCCTTCAAACTACTACAACAGGATATACAAGTCGAAGGAATTGGATCTTCCTCCACGAATCGAAGACTTTCAACACACAGCTCCGCCACAGTATAGGCACGAACCTGTTTTAAAAAGCTCTATTGAAGCGGCTTCTTCTGGTCGAGAGCCTGTTGCTTTGAAGCTTGTGGGCCCCACACCGCAGGCGTTCAACATCACAGGCCAGGATTTGGACACCGCCAACTCAGCCCCACCGTTCGTAAATAATTCCAACTTCGACCTGAATCCTCAGGAGTCGGCTAATGCCTTCCGCGGGATCCCCTTCTCACTACCATTCCAATTTGTCCAGCTGCAACCCATGGCATTCCAGAGTGCTATCAACGTGGAGCTGCCAGCTCCATCAGCAGTGGGAGAAGCGACTCCAAAATAAAAAAGCATTCACTGGCCTACCCAGCTCCAATTACAATAGAAGAAATTAGAAAATATATATGTAAAAAATCCTGCAGTCCTTTAAAAAGTAATTCATAATAATTAAGATTTCATATATGTAAGACTCGGAATCTCATAAGTGAATAATTATAAGATTGGTAAATAAAAAATCAAATATAGCTGAGCGATAATAAATTACTAATTGAAAAATGGTTTATTTTTTATATCAGAAAGGTTTCTCATTAATTAATAAAAATACTTACTAATACTACTTATCAGCAGTGTTTCATTCTCACACGTTTCATTCTCAGATTTGGGGTCGGTACGTTCGTGAAACAGTGGCAATGTTGTATTGTTGTGCCAGTGTTTTTTATCAATAAGCCAAAATTGTGGAGGAGACCTAAATGTAATTTAATTTAATTCAATTCCTTGTTGTTATCGCCTCTGTCCAGAAAGATAGCTGCAATGTAATATGACAAGAAAGAACGAATTTAAAGAAATCAAATTAAGTTGAACAGCAGCTAAATCAATACATACATACATACTTACACATGTACACTCAAAGCAAACCAAAACAAACACAGGAAAACTGTAGACAAAACATGTAAATTTTGTAATTGTTGTAATATATATTGTTGCAGCGCTTAATCTTGGCTTACAATTGTTATTGCGGCTACTGTGAACTTGCGTAAATAAATAAATATGTATGTCGTGATGTGCACTGTGTTACAAGTAGTCTGTATGTCTGTATGTACGCAATGTTGTTTTTTGCAGTGCATTTACATACGTTTTAATGTGCATTAATTAGTATAGAGGTGTTTCGTTTCTCGTGAATTTCAATATAATGTAAAATATCTAGAAGAAAACAGTGTAAATATGAGCATAGATTTGTAACAAATACATAGTTTGCAGTTTGCAATGTTTTATCAGCTGTTCAGTGTGACCGTCAAAACGTTTTTGGTAAAAAAAAAAAAAATTTCGTCATTTATATTTTAAATAACAACAAACAAATGTCAACTGACAGAATTTAAATCTGGTATTTCAGCCTTCAGTTGGATAAAATGAATGCCAAATCCGAAAATGAAGCAGAAAAGGAAAAAAAGTTGACAATTACAAATCGGTTTGGGGATTCCCTGGAGAACTACGAACTTTCCAACGAAAGTGAACACATGGCCCACGCTTATCCAAAAAAGATTCCAAATCGAAAAAATGGAATTTTAAAGTAAGAATAAAACAAATTTATTAAGAAATAAAATTAGAATTAGATGCTATTTTAGAAACAACGATGTTAACCACGACACCGCCTATCACGAAGATGTGGACTTGGCAGATATTCTTGGAACAAATTGGCCTAAACGTGCTGGAGCTGCTGCTATGATTTTAAACAACAAAAGTAAAACGTCTATAGAACCGGGTATTTGCGAAGATATGAAACCAGCTTCTCCGCCTACTCTACCAAAAGTTGAGCCAGAGGAAATTCCGCGTATGTATTGCTAGTATTTGTGATTTTTTATTCTTTTAAAACTGTTTTAACACCTGGGTCTTTGTATAGAATCCCAAGCAGATTAATTATTATTGGGCTTAAATTATTTAATTTTTTGAATCCACATATTGCACTCTGCTCCACTGTGCTCTTATACTTACAAATTCTCTGAATGCCTCAGAAGCAACTTTGTTAAACGTTCTTCTACGTTCGAACTTATTAAATTCCTAGGATATCCAACATCTTTTGTATAGTAAGAACAGTATTGGTATTTTTAATGCCAAAAGTGTAATTTATTTATCAATAAGTTCCGTTTTATAAAGAGTTTTCTTGTGATTTTTTATTCACTTGTACGACATCTTAGAAATGGCCACAGAACAAAAGTGTGTGCTTTATTTTTAGATCGTTGGACCAAAGATACATATATTCTATTTACGTTCACGTAAAATGCCAGTGTTCTGGCAGTTTGTCGGAGTTTTATTTCTGTTGAGACGTTGCTCGCCTTAAGCTGCATCAAATAAATACATTTAAATTATCTATAAAGTTGTGAACATGAATCTGTACCAAAAATCTCCGTTTTTCGAATCGGACTTACACAATAATATACCGCTAACTGTTTTGGAATTTTACTCCCCGGATTCCGTAGACGAGGAACCCGGTAACTCTTGCTCCTCAACTTGCTCCTCTTCTTTCAATACGTGCGTCCTCGTTTTTTAGGCATCACCGTCGCCGATTACCAGCCTTTGATCGAAATACCCGGAACTGACCTGGCAATTGGATCGCTTGTGGAAGTGTCGAGTCCTGGAGCGAATGAAGATCTATATGGCGTTATAAGATGGATTGGCATTCCGCCGGGAATACAAAAGAACGTACTGGTAGGAATTGAAGTGGAAGACGAGTCCAACTTGAAGAACGTTTTGACCTCAGACGGCAGGCATAACGGAGTTCGGTAAGCTTTTATTCAAAAATATGTATTTTGATATATTTTAATTTATTTTTTGAATTTCCAGCTTATTCACATGCCACGAGGGTCGAGCCGTGTTTGTCCCCGCTAACAGATGCACTGCTGACCGTAGATTTGCCGATGTGGACAACACCAGCATGGCAGCCAATCGAGTTTCAAATAATCAGGTGAAGAAATTCGGTGTTGCTGAGTGTCCGGCTATATATGGATCAGTACCGCCTTTGGGTAGGAGCTACAAGGCTTAAAAAACTTAAAAGATAAATAATATTATAATTACAATGTCTGGCTTTTTTAGAAATTCACAACTCTGAGGAGCTAGCCAGTATTTGTGGCAAGTTCAAGGGAATACAGGGCCATCATAATTCCTGCTACCTAGATGCCACGCTCTTTTCAATGTTTACTTTCACCAGTGTCTTTGATTCCATTCTATACAGGCATCCGGGAGCTCAAGTAAATATTTACAATTTTATTAATGAAAGTAATGTTTTTAAAACTGCTTCTTCGTCAGGACATTCGAAATTACAGCGAAGTTCAGAAGGTGTTGCGGGATGAAATCGTGAATCCCCTACGAAAGAATGTCTTTGTGCGCTCAGATCGTGTGATGAAGCTTCGCGAACTGCTGGACCAGTTGAGTTCGGTCAGTGGCCTTACCTGCGAGGAGAAAGATCCTGAAGAGTTCCTCAACAGTTTACTCTCGCAAATAATGAGAGTTGAACCGTTTTTAAAGGTGCGCAGTATTTAAATTGTTTGTATTAACTTTTAAACTGAAAGGGATTAAGCACTTTTCCAGCTAAGCTCCGGCCAAGATTCGTATTTCTATCAATTGTTTGTGGAGAAGGACGACAAGCTAACGCTACCGAGTGTCCAGCAGCTATTTGAGCAGAGCTTTCACTCATCCGACATCAAATTGAAGGAGGTGCCCTCGTGCTTCATCATTCAGATGCCTCGCTTTGGCAAGAACTTCAAGATGTACCCAAGAATATTGCCATCGCAAGTCTTGGATGTGACGGATATTATAGAAAACTGTAAGTACCCTACATGCCTTTAAATGCCCATACTTATAATAATTTGTTTGGCATATTTTTAGCCCCGCGACAGTGCTCGCTTTGTGGGAAACTGGCAGAGTTTGAATGCCGTGATTGCTTTGGAAGCTTGCAAGCTGGTTCTGGCCTCGAATGCACCGCTTTTTGTCCCAAGTGCTTGAAGACCTTTCACTCGCACTCAAAAAGGTTACCTGGATAATATATTCACTACATTTTAGTTTGCTAAAAAACCTAATTCATTGCAGGAGCAATCACGTTTCGAAAAAGATCTCCATTCCGAAGGACTTTAGGATTATGGCCGACCACATGGTTGTACCGCGATTATACATGGAACTATTTGCCGTGGTCTGCATCGAAACCTCACATTATGTGGCTTTTGTGAAGTCGGGATCTGGTCCAGATGCTCCATGGTGCTTTTTCGATTCAATGGCTGATAGAAAAGGTAATTATTATTATTTGATTTTATTTAATTTTTTTTATTTACTATTTTTAACGAAACTTTTCAGGCGAACAGAACGGATACAATATACCTGAAATTACGTGTGTTCCGGAATTAACGCAGTGGCTCACGGACGAGGGGGCGCGATCTATAAATGAAACTTCAACGAACGATAAAGTATTACCTGAACACGCTAAGCGTATTTTTTGCGATGCCTATATGTGTCTGTACCAAAGCACAGACATCATGATGTACCATTAGAACAATCTTTTATCTTTTGATTAAACCATGAGATGTAATAAATTTTTGTAGATAAACACAGACGATTTGTAGTTTAATATATGTTTTTGGATATTGGGTATTAAATACATGGATAAATATCAAAATTATGAAAAAATGTTGGATAATATATTGATGATCCGGTTAAGACACTTCTTTATCCGAAATCTAGAGACAGACTGAACAGAAAATATACACATACAGCGCAGTCAACCGTGCAGATCAGGTCACATACAAATTTTTTATAGTATATACATCGGATAACATACATATATATTTGAATGCATACACACAATGCTCTGGAAGTGCTCCTTTGTTATTGGTCGAGAGCGGTAATCGTATAATATTGGCTTCGTGATTGGTTAATTTCAGGGGGAGGATTTTATTCAGAACTGCGCTGGAATAGTCCGCAGTTTATTTGGAATATATTTTCAGTTTCAGTTACTTCCCAGACGCACAGCAACAACAAGTTTAATTCTTGGCTGATATTAGCAAAAATGCCAAACTCTAATCGAGATATCTAACTTAACGAAAATGTCAAAAAATTCAATGTTTGTGGGACGCGAGTATTCAACGAACATTCAATATTATAGCTCTGTTTATAATGCTTCAACCATATTCGATTTAAAACGTAAATAAGTTGTTTTTTGTGCTTTCCTAGTGACTGTGAAATCAATAAATTTATAAATATTTAATATTTTAGTGGAAGTTATTACTCATAACCGCTGACTTATCTTTTTGTTTTGCCAAATGTTTATTTCAGTCAGTTATTAGTTATTCGTATATTGATTTAAGGTAATGCTGAAGTAAAACAATTGATTATATTTATTTCAGACACTGAAAGTCAAGTTCAGCAACAGATTTACAACCAGAATCATGTGGGCTATGCTCCACCTTCGACTACTCGAACTATTAAGAAAAGAAATACAGCTAACAAAAAGGAAAGGAGAAGAACACAAAGTATAAACAATGCCTTTTCCTATCTGCGAGAAAAGATTCCAAATGTTCCGACGGATACAAAACTATCAAAGGTAAATTTACGCTTGGATTTTAGAGATGGAGGAAGAAATTTAACACATTTACGTAAAAAAAACTCCATCCTGCCAAATACTTCCTAAATATTCAAGTAAATTAAAGATTATTTAAAGGGATATTAAATTACATTACTCAACAGATAAAAACGTTAAAATTGGCCATATTGTACATAAACTACTTAGTTAATGTCCTTGATGGTGATCAGGACCCCAAAGGCGGTTTTCGGGCAGAGCTTAAGCCAATTAACCGAAAGATTTGCAGCGAAAAGAAGCAGCAATGTCTGAAGAACGAAATTCAAGTAAGCCAAGGTTACATAATTTAATTATTAATAAGCAGGTTTATTTAGTTTTTATTTTTTGAAACACCCAATCCTGGCAGTTTAGTCTTAAGCCTCTGCCGTCGGTATACACTTTCTATTCTATATTACAAATCTCAAACAAACTTAAGGTTTAAAAAAAACAGGAAGATAATAAAGCAATATAAACATTTATTTTATTGGAAATATCATTAAACTTAACTTAACCTACTGAATTCTCCTATTTACCACTTTTATGTTTTAATTTTGACGCAAAAATGCCCTCTTGGTTATTCTTATTTTCAGACTTGTTATGAAAGAGGAGAGAAAAAACAGATGTAACATTGGTACTCTACAAATGGGGGCGTATTTCGTATATACATAAAAACGGTTTCTTTGTTGTATCTTAGTTTCAATAAATAAGTCTTCAATGAGAAAAATTTAAGAAAGAAAGCTAACTTTGGCCAGCCAAAGTTTGTATACACTTGCAGGTAACAATTAAAATATATCATAACTAAGCCAAAAATGTATTAATTTCGATTCGGAAAGCAGTTCTGTGTTAGTTTTTATTAATTTAAAAAAACTGGAAACCAAATTTAAAATTTTAAGAAATTGAAATTTTTGGCCATTTTTGCTAATTTTAATGATGTAACCCCTTATAAAATTTTGCAAAAATGGCCAAAAAATCGATTTCTTCCTGACATACATATCTAGAAAGATTCGCATGTTAATGCTGATCAAGAATATATATGGTTTATGGGGTCGGAAATGATTCCTTGACTTAGAAAAATATTATTTTGTATTATAAAATCGGATTTTTTTATATTAAAAAACTTCTTAATTTTTTTTAAATTGAAAATATCATAACTCGGCCAAAAGAGCATTAATTTTAAATCGGAAAACTGTTCTGTGCAAGATTTTCTACAGTTAATAAATCTGCATAAATCTTCATTTAAAAATTTTGAAAATTCAATTTTTTATCAAAATCAAAAATTTTAATGATGTAACCCCTTATAAAATTTCGCAAAATTGGCCAAAAAATCGATTTCTTCCGGTCATCTCTAGAAAGATTCCCCTGTTGATGCTGATCAAGAATATATATGGTTTATGGGGTCGGAAATGATTCCTTGACTTAGTAAAATATTATTTTGTATTATAAAATCTGATTTTTTATATTAAAAAACTTCTTGATTATTTTAAAATTAACAAGAAGCTTAAATTAAAACATTAGAACTAAAAATATTTCTTTAGCCCCAATTCATCTTCAGAAATTCGTTTTCTGAACTTGGGGTAGATTGTATCTTTTTTTTCTTATATTCATAAAAAGCACTTGACTTTATAAATGTACTTTATATGCATCAAAGCGATTTCCCCTTGAAAACCGACAGAGAACATGATTTTGTTTCTTTCTTAATTAAAGTGCAGGGCGGCTTCAAAATACGAGATTCGGGTGACCGCCTCCAAGTTTCACTTTATTGTGCAATTATAGGAAGTGATAAACCGCAGGCACATGCAGCAGTAATTGAGAATCCATGCTTATCCGTCCACCAACAAGGGTTGGGGTGGGTGGACCATTAACCTAATAGGGCAATCTGGCAAAAGAGATACCCACAAGACAAGTGCGCTCGCCGAAGTGTTGTATCAAAAATATACATTTATATAATCCATTAAGGGTTTGGATTAATCAAGTGCTTTGGAAGAGCATAGTTCTCTGGGAAACATTGGAAAAATATTTAAAATTTGGGGGAAATTACGAGAAAACATTGCATCAATATAATATTAATCTTCTCTTAAAAACAGTTCGCTTTTTTTGTTTAATACTCTCCATAGCGTTGGGGTATACAGAAATTTCCTCACAAACAATTAAATCCTGAACTACATTTTCTAAATAAAATAATGAAGTGTTTCTATAGTGTTTCCGTGCACGTGTTAACTTCTCTTGTTTACTTCTTAATTGTCTATTTGTGGGCACAAAGTTGTAAACAAGAAAGGAAACTGTGATCTACATAAATAGAGTTCGTGCGTATTGTTTCGTTATGTGTTTCTGCTGCAGGTGTATTAACACACTAATATTTACCATGTAAAAATGGCATTCGAACAACAATTTTTTAAAGTTTAGTTCAAGCATTCTGAAATATTTTGACATTTTTGCAAAGCTAGCTTTAAGATCGTTATTTTGAACTTGGTTTTCTTTTTCTATCACTTATAATAAAATTAAAAATAATCTGTTTATGTTGGTTTTGTTTGTTAGATACTTTACTACCAAAGCTGTATTAACCATGTACCCTATGGGTGCAACAATTAAAACACTAAAAGAAATATTAAATTGTACTTCTAATTAAAAAAAAAAAAATAAAAGATTCATATGTAATGTCAGGTGTGTTTCAGGGGCTATATACTTTGTAAATATAAAAAAAAAACGTAGTATTTAGATAATGCATTAATTTAATTAGCATTATTATAAATAAAGTCATTATATAGGCTTATTTGATCAAACCATCCTTTAAAATATAGAGGAATTACAACTAAGCAAAGTTGTTGTCGGTAAAACTCCTGAATTGTTTTTGTTTTGAAAAATATGTCTAAAAAAAACTATTAAAAATTGCAATTTCTTAATTTAATTTTAAGATTTATCCAAAACATTGTATGCCAAAACAAAACTAGTTAAACTTTTCCCTTCTTATAACTTTTCATAATATTTTAATATAAATAAGTATAAGAGATATTAAATTCAATTTCAAATATTTAAATCGAATTCACTCTTTAATCCAACGCAATCATCGTTCTTTTTACAGAATGTTCCCATATCGGCAAAGGGCCGCACAGGATGGCCACAAGATGTTTGGGCGTCAGAACTTATTCCAGAACATAATTAAATAATTAAAAATTATATTTCATAATATTTATATATTAATAATTTACCTATTTAAAATAAAATGCACCTTAAATAAAACTTATGACCCTGTCTATACGTATTTTTAAAACTGCATCAGATTGGTGGAGGGAATACATAGGATTTTTTAAAATTCTTTTAAATTTATAGTTTAAATTTGTTTAATGTGGGTTTAACTCTTATTTTTTATTATTTATTAATCAAAATGCATAAAATTCAATTTGGAAAGCTTTTCTGTGTTAGTTTTTCGACGGTAAATAAATCTGAATACTACATTTATAATTTTTTTTAATTAAAAATATTAATTAATTTTTAAGTAAAAAATTCAAGATTTTACCATTTTATTAAAATTTGGCGATATTTTTAGAAATACCCTCAACGTGTCGACACATCGATAAGCAAGCATCGATATCATCGCCAAACCTATCGCCCTTTGTACATCACTAGAATCAATTTTCGAGCTGGATTTGTGTGAATGAAAATAGTGTATTGAGTAATTTTTGAAAACGCTTTTAAAAAGCAAAATTAAGAGAAAAATAAAGACGGCATAATATTTAATATAATGCAAAACAGGTATGGGACCTGGCCCAAAACATTTTTCGTCCGCACAGCTGCTTTCCGACTTGCAGGACGCAATTATTTATAAACGATTGACAATTACATTACGTACACACATGTTTTCGCGTTGGTATATTGTGAAATTAGTGCACCCAAAGTTTGGCGAGACCATTGTAATAACTGCTTCTTCGTTTTATGTAACGTCAAAGCAGTTATTTTATTGGAATAGAAAGGTCTCCGAAAATATACATACACATGTACATACACAACTGGACCATCGTTGAGGGCAAAAGAAAAATGGAAGTGTCATCCAAGCACTTTCTTGTATACTTTGTAATTTATTAGAACCTGCTGCACTTTTTATTTTCTTTGCGAACACTGTTAATATAAATATTAATATTACCAGCATTGTAATGAAAACGTGAAGTGATACATAAAAAAATTGTATATGTATGTACATATGTATGTTTGTTTTGTTTACTTGGTGTGATTTTGCCTTTTCATACCAATTTTTTTTTATTGATTTGATGACGAACACCGTCTTTGTATAGTTACTTAAATGTGTTCTTCAGTTGAAACAACGCAGTTTCAGTTTCTCCCACATTTATATGTTTCTTTGTGTGGTCTGTTACACGTATTCTTGTTAGTGGCACCTCCAATTGGTACAACAACAAGTTGGAGAACAACTCTGGTTAAATGAAAGTAAATACATGTGTACATATGGGAATGATGAAATATGTTGTACATCTGATTAGAATATTTTGGCGGGCTTTATTAGAAATTCGCTTAGCTCATCTGATTAACGGGAAGTATGTAAATCCATACATACACACTATCTACTTGATGTACACTTGAAATCTTTTTGGTATCTGTTTGTTTGCCTTGGAAAAAATGCCTAGCAACCCGAGTTTGTTCCTACAAAATCGAAATTTAAATTCTTATTATTCTTTATAATTTCATACATGTACATTTAAATTCTTTAAATATTAGTTCTTTGCTAAAGCTGATTAATAATCATTATTTTGTTGTCTCTCCCTTGCAGTTTTGGTTAAGAAAAACAAAATAAAATCGATTCGCGGTAAGTCAAATATAACTATTAATCTTAGTAAGCATACACATTTATTTGATTTATTTCAAATACAATTAATATATTGGTATTATAATCACTATATCGAAAATTTAAACCGAGAATTCTTTGTTCCAAAAAGGGCATTTCACTTACCAAATTGGCCCAAAGACCAATTACACGTGTGCCAATGCCTTTTCCTTGTTTCCTGCCTTAGTTGTCAACAAGTAAAATATTCAATTATCAAAATTGTATTGTTCACATTGCACAGATGGGCGATGTCGATCCCGAGACTCTGTTGGAATGGCTGTCCATGGGACAGGGCGATGAGCGGGACATGCAATTGATAGCCCTGGAGCAGCTCTGCATGCTGCTCCTGATGTCCGACAATGTGGATCGTTGCTTTGAAAGGTACTTGACTTGAATTTTATTTACTTTCCCGTTTTTTGATTGAATTTCCGTGTCTATTTCTAGCTGTCCACCGCGCACATTCTTGCCGGCGCTGTGCAAAATTTTCCTGGATGAACTGGCACCCGAAAACGTGCTCGAGGTTACGGCGCGAGCCATTACCTATTACCTGGACGTTTCGGCCGAGTGCACCCGTCGCATCGTGTCGATTGATGGCGCCATCAAGGCCATTTGCAATCATCTTGTGGTTGCGGATCTTTCGTCGCGCACATCCCGCGATCTCGCCGAGCAGTGCATCAAGGTGCTCGAGCTGATTTGCACCCGTGAAGCGGGCGCTGTTTTCGAGGGCGGCGGCCTCAACTGTGTCCTCTCCTTCATCCGTGACTGTGGCTCGCAGGTGCACAAGGACACGCTGCACTCGGCCATGTCCGTGGTGTCGCGGTTGTGCACCAAAGTGGAGCCCAACACGCCGTGCATACAGAACTGCGTGGAGAGCCTGAGCACGCTGCTGCAGCACGAGGATGCCATGGTATCCGATGGCGCCCTCAAGTGTTTCGCCTCTGTGGCCGACCGTTTCACCCGAAAGTGGGTGGACCCTGCGCCACTGGCCGAGTACGGCCTCACCGAGGAGCTGTTGAAGCGTCTGAAGAGTGTGGGAGGCAGCAGCCCACACTCGGGAGCTGCTGCGGCTGCTCAGCCGGCTGCCCCGCCCGCAAACTCCTCGGATGCCATCAATGAGAACGTGGCCACGGGTGCCAATGCCACCAAAGTAAAGTCATCTTCCGATGCGGCTGCATCCCCGCAATCCATATCCACTACGATTTCCTTACTGTCCACACTCTGCCGCGGTTCACCATCGATTACCCATGACATTTTGCGATCGCAACTGGCGGATGCCCTGGAAAGAGCCTTGCAGGGCGACGAGAGATGTGTGCTGGACTGCATGCGCTTTGCAGATCTCCTGCTCTTGCTTTTGTTCGAGGGACGCCAGGCGCTAAACCGTGGAGGAGGCGGCGCCGGCGGAGGCAGTAACAACAACCCCAATCAGGGGCAGTTGGCTCCGCGACCTAGGCGCAACAACACCAACACGGATCGCACGCACCGCCAGCTCATCGATTGCATTCGATCGAAGGATTCGGAGGCCCTACGTGAAGCCATCGAATCGGGCGGCATCGATGTCAACTGCATGGACGATGTGGGACAAACGCTCCTCAACTGGGCCTCCGCCTTTGGCACCCTGGAAATGGTCGAGTATCTGTGCGAAAAGGGTGCTGATGTGAACAAGGGGCAGCGCAGCTCGTCCCTACACTATGCCGCCTGCTTTGGTCGACCGGCAATTGCAAAAATTCTGCTCAAATTCGGTGCCTATCCGGATCTGCGTGATGAGGACGGTAAGACGCCGCTGGACAAGGCGCGCGAGAGACTAGACGACGGCCATCGCGAAGTGGCGGCCATACTGCAGTCACCCGGCGAGTGGATGTCGCCGGATCACTCGCTCCTAAACAAGGACGGCAAGAAGGGTACACTGATGGAGCCACGGGGTGATCCCGAAATGGCACCCATTTATCTGAAGGTTCTCCTACCGATCTTCTGCCGCACATTCTTGGGCTCCATGCTGGGCAGTGTGCGGCGGGCTAGCTTGGCGCTGATCAAGAAGATTGTCCAGTACGCTTATCCAACGGTGCTGCAGAGCCTCAGCGAGAGTGGCTACAGCGATGAGGGGCATGCCTCCACTTCATCGGGCCAGAATGGAGGAAATCTGCTTATAGAGGTGATCGCCAGTGTCCTGGACAATGAGGTAATTAAGAAATAATATTTAATTTAATTTATTTCAATTAATTATATAATTACAATATTTAAAATTAAATTCCAGGACGACGACGATGGTCATTTAATTGTTTTAAACATCATTGAGGAAATTATGTGTAAGACACAAGAGGAATTTCTCGATCACTTTGCCAGACTCGGGGTGTTTGCCAAGGTTCAGGCTCTGATGGACACGGATGCCGAGGATTTGTACGTGCAATCATCGTCAGGGAGCGCAGATGAGATGGCTTCTTCGGCTCAGAAATCGTTAACCAATGTGGTGGTCAGTCCACGAGCAACTTTAGGTAAGGTCTCCCTCTATAGTTTAGAGTAATTTATATTTATTTATATTAACATCGTGCAGAGGATCCCATGGAGGATGCCAAAGAGATACTGCAGGGCAAGCCCTATCACTGGCGGGAGTGGAGCATTTGCCGGGGCCGTGATTGCCTGTATGTGTGGTCCGATTCGGTGGCCCTGGAGCTGTCCAATGGCTCCAACGGCTGGTTTCGCTTTATAATCGATGGCAAGCTGGCCACCATGTACTCCAGCGGAAGTCCAGAAAACGGCAATGATAGTTCGGGTAAATATTATTCTTTTTCCTTTTTAATTTAAATTCTTTAATATTAATTTTTAAACAAAAAAATACCTAGAAAATCGTGGCGAGTTTCTGGAGAAGCTAATGCGCGCTCGCTCCTGCGTTATACCCGGCGTTGTGTCGCAGCCCATTCTGCCCACAGCGAGTGCCCTGCGCCTGGTGGTCGGCAATTGGGTCTTGCAATCCCATAAAACAAATCAACTGCAAATACACAATACCGAAGGACATCAGGTCACAGTGCTGCAGGACGATTTGCCTGGCTTCATATTCGAAAGCAATCGCGGAACCAAGCATACCTTCACGGCCGAAACTGTCCTCGGTCCCGATTTCGCTTCGGGCTGGTCCACGGCCAAGAAGAAGCGCAACAAGTCCAAGACGGAGGGCCAAAAGTTTCAGGTACGCAACTTGTCGCGCGAAATCTACAACAAATACTTCAAATCGGCGCAGACTGTGCCTCGCGGAGCGGTTGCCATTCTCACCGATATTGTGAAACAAATTGAGGTGTCGTTCGAGGAGCAGCACATGGCGCCCAATGGCAGCTGGGATGAGACCTTATCCGGCGCCCTCACCAAGCTGTGTCAATTGATACACGAGGACGGGGTGGTAAGCGCATACGAAATGCATTCGT